GGCCATAAACGAACTGACAGAGATGAAAACGATGACACGAGAAATACGTGACAAATGCACAAGCTTCAGTAACCGTCTCGATCAACTGGAAGAAAGAGTATCAGCAATTGAGGGTCAAATGAATGAAATGAAGCGAGAAGAGAAATCTAAAGAAAAAAGAAGAAAAAGAAATGAACAAAGCCTGCAAGAAGTATGGGATTATGTAAAAAGACCAAATCTACATCTGATTGGGGTGCCTGAAAGTGAGGGGGAAATGGAACCAAGTTGGAAAATTCTCTTCAGGATATCATCCAGGAGAACTTCCCCAACCTAGTAGGGCAGGCCAACATTCAAATTCAGGAAATACAGAGAACACCACAAAGATACTCCTTGAGAAGAGCAACTCCAAGACACATCATTGCCAGATTCACCAAAGTTGAAATGAAGGAAAAAATCTTAAGGGCAGCCAGAGAGAAAGGTCGGGTTACCCACAAAGGGAAGCCCATCAGACTAACAGCAGATCTCTCAGCAGAAACTCTCCAAGCCAGAAGAGAGTGGGGGCCAATATTCAACATTCTTAAAGAAAAGAATTTTAAACCCAGAATTTTATATCCAGCCAAACTAAGTTGGCACACTAATATGGCACAAGTATACATACGTAACAAACCTGCACATTATGCACATGTACCCTAGAACTTAAAGTATTAAAAAAAAAAAAAAAAAGACACCTGAAAAACTAGTTAAGCTCACGATGGGAAGTGGGGGTCAAACAGCCCTCATTATACCCTCGTCCTTTGGAATTCAGGCACAACTAATCAGCATTAATATTAAAACCGAGATCTTAAGACTGAAAAAGCAGACTGTTTGTAGCAGAACGATACCAAATTCCAACCTTACTCTAGTATAGCATCACACAACAGATATAGCAGGCCCTGGAAGTATCAAAGTATTTTACCCCAAAATATTTGGAGATGGCCCTGCAAAGTTGATTCTTATGGATAAATTTGCGATCTGTAGAGAAGCCCCTTCCCTTTCCAGGTGTTTTTCTGATCCTAAAGAGATTAGCTGAGAGTCTAGCACCTTTTAAATGTCTAAATAGAAAACATTTGCCATCTATTGCCTCTAAGGGTGGCCACATATGAGATTTCATCTACATAATAAGAACCTTGGTCTCCACAACCCTTATCTTAAAGCAGACACTCCTTTCTGTTGATTCCAGGTCTTTAGATAATAACTCAACTCTTTCAAGCAATTACCAATAAGAAAATCTTTGAATCTACCTATGACCTATAAGTCCTTCCCCACCACAACTTCAAATTTTCCCACGTTTCTGGACCAAGCCAATATATACCTGACATGTATTGATTGATGTCTTTTGTCTCCCTAAAATGTATAAAATCAAGTTGTAACCCAGCGACTTTGGGTATATGTTCTCAGACCTCCTGGGGGTATGTCACAGGTGATGGTCCTCACATGTGGCTCAGAATAAATATCTTCAAATATTTTACTGAGTTTGGCTTTCCATCAACACAGGTAAAGGCAGGAATTTCATTTTTGTTTTTTATTTCTTTATCTGTAGCTTCATAGTGATTCTGGTGCTATCTACTGTAATATTTTGATATGCTCTAAACTTTCCTTTCATACCTTAATATTGTCTTTTTATTCCCCTGCTATTATGGTAGACTTTACACCATCATTATGGTACATCCGATAATTCCAAAAAGGGTTTTCACTATCCTCTGCCACTCAACATTAACTTGTAACATACAACCTTGGACCCTCCCAACCAGGGGTCATATGAAGATTTCTTCTCTCTCAAGTTTTTCTTTTTATTTTTTTCTTTTTATTTTTTTTAGACAGGGTTTCATTCTGCTGCCCAGGCTAGAGTGCAGTGGTGCCATCATGGATCACTGTAGCCTTGACTTCTCAGGCTCAAGTGATCCCACCTTAGCCTCTTGAGTAGCTGGGGCTACAGATGCGCACCACCACACCTGACAACTTTTTTCTATTTTTTGTAGAGAAGAGTTCTCACTAGGCTGGTAGTGAACTCCTGAGCTCTAATAATCTTCCTGCCTCAGCCTCTCAAAGTGCTGGGATTATAGACATGTGCCACTGTGCCCATCCTTCCCTCGTTATTTATCCTCTTACCCACAACCTTAATAGACAAGTTAAAATCATTACCCTGTGCTAAATACACTTTATTTTCCTATTTTTTTCATCATTGCTACCTTTAAACTCCTCCAGGCTGGGATAATTGGAACAGATCTGATAGGGTAGCTTAGGTGAGGTGGATACAGGAGCTAGAGTAGGTTTCCCTTCTCTAAGCTATTGTTAATGTGCTGTCAAACCCTTTGTAGGGATCCTGTCAATTTCTTCCTTCTCTATTCCCTCCCCTCACTTGCCCTTCAAAACATTTTTAAAGATCATTCTACCTGATTCAATGTTTATTTCTCTTATTCTGGTCAGTATCTTCACCCCAGCCCATTAGCTTTCTTCTGAACAGCTTAAACTTTCTTTTTATTTATAAAGCCCATTATCAGTAGCTGTGAGAACAAATCTGCTTTGGCATTCTGCATATTCGAATCCTTGTTTTCTCACTAAAAGTATCCTACTGGGAACATATGCATGAGGGATTCCCCCTAATCACAATGTCTATAATAGTGCGGGGCAGAGGCATAGGGAAGCTCAACACTAATCATCATAAAACCAAGCAGGGTTGCCACTGCCCTTTATATTTTTAATGCTTCCACAGAAGCAACAGTTTCACTGTTAACAAAATGGATATAAAGTTTTCCTTTTCCGTATAAATTCAAGGTATTTCAGACATCACACACTCCCAAAGGGGCGCTGATATTTAATTTGGGTCTTCTGTGGATCAAATACTGAACACTGTGACAAGTCGATGATTAGCAGTCATACCAGAGAACTCTTTCCATTAAGTAGTTTCTAAAATCAACAGTTCCATGGCTGTTTAGCCTGAGAATCCAAGAAAGCAGAGATTCCTCAGTACTACTAAAAAATATAACCAAATTTCATTCCACTGTTGCCTTTGGTTTGTATATAGGTGTATCTGATAAGGCCAGGTAGATGCACACAGGTTGAGAGACCTAGGGACCTAACCTGTGAGAAGGTCCCACTTTCTCCATGAAACCAGAATCTTAATCTTAGGATATGATTAGCCTTTAGCTAGCCACAAGAAAGAAGAAAACCAAAGAGAATAAGAAATAGAGATGGGCAATCTTTCCTGAGAAACAGGATTGGTTTAATGTATCTGCCAGTTACATGCAAGGGAATTAGTGGAAAAGGGAAGAGGCAAAAGGTATGCATAAGAAATTTTAATGTACAGTGACCCTGCTTACAATAAATGCAGCTTAATCAATTTCTCAGGTTCTGACAAAACATATTAGCATTTTCTTCTCTTGGGGAAAGACATAAATGGAAGTAGGCCAACAGGCAACAGGGAAACAACGAGGAGAGAGTTCCTCTACAGCACTGCCTACACTCAATATAGCACTTTGAAAAGGCAAAATGATTACATATAGAATTATCTCACCTTCTACTATGTAAAAGTTTGTGTAATAATGGAGAATCTCCTGAAATAGAAGTTAGTTTACATCTCAATTTGCCAAATCGGCTGTGCACTTTGCCTTTCTAAATCTTTTAATCTACAATTTAAAAAAATTACATTAGATGATAGTTATAAGTTCTCTTTAAGATTTAAGATTCCATGATTTTACTAATATAGTGTCTATCCAGACTTCATTACAAGTTCATTGTTTGTACAGGACAGGGATGATGGCTTATGCACCCTGCACATGGCTAGTGTTCTGCAATTCGTCCATTGTTTAAATGCCAGTTGAGATGTGGGAAAGTGTGTATCACTTGCTTCAATTCAAGGAGCTGGAACGAATATACATATGTACACTTGCATATAATATTTTTGGAATTAGAAATAAAGTAATACTGGTTGTTTCTGAGCAAGGTGACTGAGGTATCAGGAGTTTTGGGTGGATGGGAAAATTTGTTTTCAATATCAGCTGTCCTTTGTATTTACATTCGACTCTCCCCCTTGCTCTTTCTCCTCCAGCCACCCCGACCTTCTTGCTGTTCCTCCATTTCAAAAACGCTCCCAACTCAAGGTCTTTGCACTTGTCATTCTGGTGCCTGGTGCACTCTCCCTCCAGATACTCCCACAGTGAACTCCCTTACTTCATTCAATGAGACCCAAATGCTACGTTAATACTGAGACTTCCCTGACCACACTGTATGTAATGACTTCCCCCACAGACTCCCCATGACCCCTTAGCTAACAACCCTTAACATTTAGTAGCATCTGACGTACTGAATGTTTGCCTGTTTGTTTAGTGTTTGACTGCCTTTTGGAACACTGCCTGTGCTAACAATTAACAAATACTTGTTGAATTAAGAAACTTACTGTTTGAGATTTTTAAAAAGTAATCACGAAATTACTTTTTCAACAAAAACAACCAGTTAGGGAATAAACATTTGATAAATTAACTTTTAGATCTATAGTATTATAGGATAAAGTCCAAACTTCTTTTCTCAACACACGGACTTTCCTCATCTGCCACGTATTGACCACAGTCAAGTAACCCGTTCCCTTTCCTCCTGCATAAAGCGGGGCTATTCATAATTACTTCACAAAATTAAGATTCAATGCAGATGAAAGCGCTTTTGTAACCAACGCACTGTAAGTTACCATAAGCACAGGGTTTCTTCCGCGCTTGGAGCCTAGGAATAGTACATGGTGTCAACCTGCGCTAATGACCTGAGGTTTAAGGACAGGAAAATCTCCAGTGCAGCGCTAGCAGACACTACTCTGGCGCGGGGCGGGGCTCCTTACCACCGTTCCCAGGGAAACTGTCCGGGTGTCCCTAGTCTCTGAGCCAGTGCGCCGGGGCCACTCAGCTCAACCTCTCTCCTGCGCTAGCAATAGGTGGAGCGCCGGCCAATCGGAAGAGGCCGGAGGGGCGGGGCGGGCAGTGGCCCTGGGAAGGCGGGTCCGCGGCCTCGCTCCCTGACTTCCGGGTCGCGGTGCTAGCAGGCAGAGTTCCGTCGTTTCCGTTGCCGGCTGTTTGCAGTGGGGAAACCGAGGCAGCTCCTGCTCCCCCTAGTTCTTCCGCTCCTGTGAGGTGGCTGCTGTTTCTTTTCCTCTTGCCCCGCGCTGCATCGGTGCGGCTGCGCTGAGAGTGCGCGGGCTCGCGAGCCCCGCGGGGTTCTGCGGGAACCCGGGGGCGCCTGGGCCGGCGGGTCTTTGTGCGAGCCCTGCCCTCCCATTCGCGGGCGGCGCGCGAGGGGGGTCGGCGCAGCGACGCCCCGAGCCTTGGGGTGCTCAGGCGCCGCTAGTCGTGCATCCCTTCTGCTCGGCAGTTCTGCGCTTTTGTCCTAATGAGCGCGGACTAGATGGCTTGGTTTTCAAGATAATGATCAACCCAGCTGTGATGTGTGCTGTTTTCTGCACTGACCTGCGGCGACTTCGAATTTGACAGCCCCTCCTCAGGCCCTAGTCCAGAGATGACGTGTCTGTGGGAATGTTTAAGGCAGGAAGGAGACGAGCAATTTTGTTTTTAAGTATCTCCCTCTCACGAGTATCTCCCTGACTTTTTCATTTAGAAGCTGAAGAATTTTCTTAAGACATAAGATACAGTTGTATCGAGTGTGTACTTAAAAAAAAAAAAAGCAAAAAAAACTTGTTAGTATTTCTGCCCTTGACCTCTTGAATGGAAAGTCAAGAATGAGCTAAGGTGTTATATACTCCGTGTTCAACGTGTATACTTAAGTTTATAAGCCATATGTAGTGTTTTTATTTGCTGGCATCACCTGACTGGGACAGTTGCAACGAATTATCCACATGGGATAAGAAGAGCGTGTTCTATAAAAACAATTCTGATGTTTTGGTATATAGTTTAATTGTTGATTAGTTGGGGTCCTCTTGATCTTGAACTGTTGAACCCTAATTCTCAAAGAATGGGAAATTTGGAAACTGAGATATGAAACAATTATTTAGCAAACCATTCTGTTATTCTTTCAAGCCATTGAATGGTTTGACTACGTCGTGTGAATTTTCGTTTTGAAAAAGTGATAAATTGGCCATTGAATCATCCATCATTTAATTAATGTAAGCGGTATATATTACACCTGCCATTGTTTTTAGATGTCTAATTAAACACTATCACAAAACAGACACAATGAAATAATAGATACATAATTTGAGATTTGATCAGTTGTATAAACTAATTTTTAAAATTTTAAAATTCAGTTTAAGGTCATTAAGCTTGTCTTGTATATTTCCCTCCTCCAGGAAAAAAAAATGTTTATTTCTTTGTGGGAGTTCTTCTATGGGCACTTTTTCCGATTTTGGATGAAATGGCTATTACGACAGATGACTGGGAAGTGTGAATTGCAGCGAATATTTGATACCTATGTAGGTGCACAAAGGACACACAGGATAGGTAATGTTATTCGAAAAAGAAAAAGTGCTAATAAAAGTTTAACTGAATATTTTTCTCAGTACTCACAGTGACAGATGTATTTCTTGTGTATCCTGACAAGTCACTTAAACTGAATTTCATAAGCTTTGAAATCCTGCTTTGACTCCTTCAGCTCTAAAATTGTATGAATTTATAGAAAAAGTGATTGTTGAGTTGCTTTTCTGTGGAAAGAATTATCTTCTTTGGCTCCTGAAGTTTATCAGTTATTCCTTAGATTATAGTTGCAACCTATTTTCTGGTGAAAAATTTCTATACTTATATAATCCCTTTGCAATTTTCACTCATATGATGGGATGAGTGCCTCAGTCTAGATCCATTTTTATACTTAGCATCCTTCATCAGTCTTTTACTTTCTTACTGTTACTTATGAAAGGCCAGTAATTAGGTATCCAGTGGTCTCTAGGAAAGACTTTTAGACTCATTCTCACTGTCCAATACCATAGCCAATAGCCACATTATATTGAGCATTTGAAATATGGCTAGTCTAAATTGAGATGTGCTGTAAGTGTAAAATATAAACTGTATGTCAAAGACTTACAAGAAAATGTAAAAAATTTTCAGTAATTGTTTATATTCTCTATATGTTGAAATGGTAATATTTTGGGTATGTTGGGTTAAAAATATATTAAAATTTTATGTTTCTTTTTACTTTAATGTGGCCATAGAGAATTTTAAAGTACACAAATGGGTCACAATTTGGGTTGTGTTATATTTCTGTTGAACAGTGTTGCTCTGGTACCTTCTAAAATACATCAGTTTTCAGTGCTTCAGTGAAAATTTTACTCTAAAATTTGAACATAGATGAGTAAGAACTGTGGTTTGAAGTCGCTTCTTTTCAGCCAGGGTAAGGAAGAGCAGGGAAGTGCTCTAGCTCATGCTCTCTATGTTAAACAGAAAATTGTGAAATAGCCAGATTTCCTTTTGTGTTAATCAAGTGTGCTTCGACCGAGAAATCAACCCCTGTCAGGTTGAGAGAGTGGAGTATTGGCAATTGGAACCTGTATCCAAAACAACATCGGAAGAATGACAGACAGAAGCTGCCTCAGGGCAACTGGTTGATGAAGTTTAATTACTTTCCTAGTTTTCTTACAACTTCGTGGCTGACTTAAATTATTGCTGCTCTTTTAACTTGCCCTTTTGACTACTCAAAAGAGCAAAGTACATCTTGATAAGAAATCTCTTCAGGCAGTATGGGTTGGTGTTTTAGAGTGTGGGGGAAGAATATATATAAAGGCATTTGTTTGTGGCAAAAGCATTTTTCTTATATTTTTCAAATTGCTGAGAAAAGAAGATTATTCGTAAATGTGCCAGAAATTTTTTTAAATAGACCAATAAAAATGTTCCTGTCGTTCTTGATATAGAAACCAGGAATGGAGAAGCTATTTGTCTGGTGACAGAAGGGTTGACCAGATAATCTGAAGTTCTTGCTCCTTTGTTGTACGATTTAGTTGCTGTCACCTCAAATGTAAACGCTCAGGCTAACAAATGAAAATGCAGTAGAGAGCACTCTCATTGTAGTCTTAAGATGAGTTTCTGGGACCTGAGCTACTGTGACGCAATCATGGGTGAGTTTGCAGTGGTTAGTAGACACTTCGGGGTCTAAACAGAAACAGATGACCCCAAGTAATGAGGTTGGTGTCCCCTCTTTGGATAGATATGTTGTGTTTGGTTGAGTTTTTTATACTGTAAGATTAAATTTTAAAATGCTTGCTGTTATGTAGAAATTATATCTCCTGGCACTATTAGTTTATTACTGGTTTGATATTTTTACTGGTTGTTTATTATAACTAGTTGTTATTCACAAACAGCATTCAATGGTAACATCTTTTTTTTTTTTTTTTGTCATTTCAGAAAATTCCTTGACATACTCCAAGAATAAGGTAGGATAACATAAAGGTGGTAACTCTAGAAAACTTAACTTGGACATATTTTTTCTTAAAAAAATAAAAAGTGCTCTGCTAGAAGAGTGTTTTCTATAAGAAGCGTTGAGTGAAATTTTCCCCCTTTAGAGGTAATATTCTGTTTTCAAATGTTTCTCTATGTATGTGTGTTTTTCATGTGTGTTTCAAAGAAAATACTTGAATAATTTGTCCTGTTCTGAGGTTTTACTTGTTTATTTTGCTTTAAGAGTTGATAGCTTTTGGGAAAGCAGGGCCTTAGGAGGAAAGTTGTCTTTTAGACAGTTTCCTCCGGATAGGTTATGTGAGAGAAAAGCAACTTAGGATAATAGAGAAAACCCTGGGTTGTGTACCTTCTGAGCTCAAATAAGTCATAATTCATGCTATGTATTAGTCAGCTTTTGCTGTGTAACAAACTATTATAAAATCTCAGAGGCATAAAATGATAGTTGTTTCTTGCTCATATGTCTATGGGTCAGCTGGAGAAGCCTTACTTCAGGCTGAGGCCAAGTTCCTGTTTATTCCATTCGTCTCATCTGGGACTCAGGTCGGGGGTTAACAGGTACCTGGTGAATGTTTTCACCATGAGTAACTGAAGGCCCGACCACACAAACATATTTTAAGTTTCTTTGTGTCATGTCTGTTAGCAACCCATTAGTTAAAACAAGTTACGTGGCCAAGCACAAGTTGAGGGGTGGAGGAATGTGATATGCCCACCATAAGGCTGTGGTAGGGAGTAGGTTGTATAATTCAATTACAGGGTAATGAAGAATTGGGACCAGTAATTCAGTCTACCACGTGCTGTTACTTCCCTATTGTAGTTCACAGTTTTGTCTACACGTAGATTATTTGGTGTGGCAAGGATAGAATATGGGTCATCTAGACCATTGTTTGAAATCCCATAATAGAACACAACCAGTATTAAACAATAATAGGAATAGAATAGAAAATATTTAGAAACCATTGGTCATAATATGGTTAAATATATTTTAGGAATTTTTTTATACTATTATAATTATTTTAAATATTTCTGTGTACATCTGTGTGTATTTTAGACATCCACATGAATGTTTGTTCTTAGCCATAATGTAAAATGTGGCTCAAGGTCAAAAATGTTGCTTTGCTACTGTCTAGTAATATGAATCGTGCCAGAAATAAAATAGACCTTCTTGAGAGTTGCAAGCATATCTATTATGTTCTGAAGAGTAATCTTTAAAATAGGTACTTTTTTAATGATTTAGTTATACTCTTTAAGAATGGTCTATGTAAGAATAACTCATATATAAGTGAATATTTGGGGGAAGAGTCCAGAGTTACACTCCTTTGTTCAGAATTGTTAGAGAGTGATTAATGTATTTTTGAAAATGAGGATACGGAGGTCCTGACAGCTAACAAGTTGCTGGTTCTCAACATTTATTTATACCTTATCTATTTATATAGTTCCTTTGTTTGAAACATAGGATGCAGTTTCCCAAAGTAACAATATTATAAATTGTAGCAGATGCACTTGGGGAGGTGTTATATTTCAGGTCCGTTACAAGAGTAGTTCTTAAGTTAAGGATGAATCAAAATCTTCTAGAGGCCTGTTAAAACACAGAGTATTGGGCCCCACCCCCAGAATTTCTGATCTGGTTCTGATTGCATTTCTAACATGTTCCCAGGTGATACTGCTGCAGCTGTTCCTGCTGCTGGGGGCAGTGTCTTGAGGCACTAATAGCATATTAGTATGCTGTCTCGGAACTATTGTGGATCATAACTGCTTTAACTTTGTTTCGATAGGAAACTGTGTGCATTTTTCAAACTGACCTTAAACAAGTTGGTTTGGAACTATTTGGGTGCTGAACCCTCTAGAATGAATTGTTCTGTGAAACCTGTTTTCTTTGTCTCGATGTTGTAAAGAGAGTAAAACCATAACTGAGCTCTTTATATTATACCCACAATCCCCAGCTTCCAACCCTAATTTTTCAGTAGTGTATTCCTTCAAATACCTTGACATCTCTCAGCCTGGAAGTTGACCAACACTGCCACTGCTGTCTACTAAAACTCTTATCTGGTCCCCTTCATGGCTCTCTGACTTTACTACTATTCTTGCCTTGCGCACCAGTCATCACCACTGTGCTGCCTGTTATTTTACAAACACATTGGCATGCTTCTGGTTTATGACCTTTGCACCAGGTCTTCTGTTTAACTAGGATTATCTTCTTCTGCTTAAAAGCTTAGCTCACTTCTTCATTTTCACGTTTTTCCTCAGTTATGACATTCTCTATGAGATTTTCCATGACCATTCTCTACTTAAGGGTATCCTCTTGTCTCTGTTTATGATCCCCTTTCCTTAGTTGTTTCACCATAGCACAGACCATCACTAGCATACCAAATATTTTACTTATTTATTTTTCCATTCCTGAAAAGAAAAAGGCATTGTTTGGGTTTTGTTTTGTTTTGTTCACTGATGTTTTTCTAGTACCTGAAACAGTGCCTGGATTGTGATACGGACTCTGAATATGTATTGAGTGAATGAATGAATAAATGAGAAAATTAAGAGGTTAAGGAATAATAAGTAAATGAAAATTTACTTTTTTCAGAATAGAGTGTGTAGTGTTTCTTTTGTTTGCTAATTTACTGCAGAGGTTCTGGAACTGGGTACCCAGTATCACATCTATCAGTGTAATTGTTAGTACTGCATTTGTAACAACAGTTTTGGTCACAGAATGTATTAATGGGATTGTATGTGTGGTAAAATCATGCCAAGCTTAAGTGGAACAGTACATAAGACGCTATATTTAAGAACTCCAGTGCCTTGGTCAAATCCATTCAAGGATTTGAATGACTACCGTATGTTCAATATTCAACCAGGGTCTTTGGGATATTCAAAAGATATACAAAAGAAGACTGAAATTGAATGTAATTGTAAATAAAGGTTTAGAGAAGCAAGAGGTAAATGTGGACTAGAGTGTTTGGGGATTTTAAAGTAGTGGTTACAAGTTAAAGAAAAATAAAATGTTCTTTTTTTTTTTTTAACACAGAGTCTGGCTCTGTTGCCCAGGCTGGAGCGCAGTGGTGCAATCTCGCCTCACTGCAAGCTCCGCCTCCTGGGTCCACACCATTCTCCTGCCTCAGCCTCCCGACTAGCTGGGACTACAGGTGCCTGCCACCATGCCCGGCTAATTTTTTGCATCTTTTGTAGAGATGGAGTTTGACCGTGTTAGCCAGGATGGTCTCCATCTCCTGACCTCGTGATCCGCCCACCTCTGCCTCCCAAAGTGCTGGGATTACAGGCGTGAGCGACTGCGCCTGGCCTAAAACTTTCATTATTTTTTACCTCTGTTGCTTGCTGTAAAAAGTTCACTTGAAAAGTAAACATTAAAATTGTATTCTTATAACTTCATTATTCAAAAATAGAAATTGCTAATAGCACGTTGGAGGGCATCCTGCAAAGAGAATGGTCAACAAATGGGTAAATACTGAAATTAAATCACTTATGCTTTATTCTTTTAAAGTTTTAAATCTAAGATAAACTTTCCAATAAACAGAAGTAGCTTTATCAATTTAAAAATATAATTTATGTGTGTGTTGCACCTAATTTGTACATTCCATTTACTTTGTAGGGTAAATGTATTTCTCATTTTGTGATACTTTGGTTTACCTAATTACATTTTTACTCTACGAAAAAGTCGGGGTTCAAATCCTGATATTATCAATTAGCAGTTGTTTGACTTTGTGCAAGTTACTTATTTGCTCATTCTAAAAGCTATTCATACCCACATAGTTGTTTTGAAATTAGAGATACTACTATGAAAACAGTCTAAGAGAATGCCCAATACTTGGTAAGTATTCAACAAATAGTGGTTACTAATAATATTAATGATAATAGAATTAAGCCAATATATACCATAATCATTTTAGAAGTTTGATATTCATGAAAACCTCTTTGGTACTTCAGATTACTTAGCATTACCAATGATTGCTGTGAATAAAAGTGATTTTAATCTATTCAGAGTGATTCCCTAAAATAGTGATCTTGGAGTATGATCCTGTTGGGTTGTGAACTGTTCCACAGTATGCATTCTTTCTTTGTTAAAAATTGAGTCTTATTTGCTTATATTTTAGAGTAAGGACTATTTATCAATTAGATATTAAGGGTTACTAAACTTTGGGATTTATAAACAAAAATTAATGACTTAAGAATCTGAGGAGTCTAATTCAATATTCTGCTAAGAAGTCTGGCTCCCATGCAATATATGACAATGTAGCAAAGCTCCATGTACTTATGCGTACACAGGCATTTGAATTTCTGAAAGTTAGGGAGGAATACTTTGGCAATCTATTAGTGTTTTTGGTGGCTGTCTTTGTATTGCAGCTGCCATCTTAGGTTTTAAATAATAATAATGTAGCTGTTAGATAGTTGAATAATAAATAAGTTTTATGACATTAGTTTTCTTTTAATGCTATAGTGATGCACATTTGCATTTTTGGGCCTCTACTTTTCCATTACAGCCTATAGTCATTCAAAGTATAATAAGGGGATTCTATGAGCAACTTTATGCCAGTAAATTGTTCCAGTTTACATGAAATGGACAAAGTCCTTGAAAAACAACTTACTAAAACTAATGCAAAAAGAAATAAAAAATCTAAATAGTCATGTACTTAATAAAGAAATAGAAGCTGCAATTTAAAATTTTTTCACAAATCTCCAATCTTGGCTTCACTAGTGAAGTGTTAAACATTTAAGGAAGAAGAAATAATACCACTATTACATTAGCTCCTAGGAAACATAATAGAAAGAAACACATTTTATGGGGCCAGTATCATCTTGATACTAAAGCCAGAGATAGACAATATAATATATGAAAATTACAGTTCAATGTCCTTCATGAATATAGGTGCACAAGTCCTTAACAGAATGCTAGCAAATTGATCCCAGTGATACATAAAAAGGATAACATGTCATGTTGAGGTTTTTTTTTTTACTTTAAGTTCTAGGGTACATGTGCACAACGTGCAGGTTTGTTACATATGTATACATGTGCCATGTTGGTGTGCTGCACCCATTAACTCATCATTTACATTAGGTATTTCTCCTAATGCTATCCCTCCCCCTTCCCCCCACCCCAACACAGGTCCCTGTGTGTGATGTTCCCCTTCCTGTGTCCAGTGTTCTCATTGTTCAAGTCCCACCTATGAGTGAGAACATGTGGTGTTTGGTTTTTTGTCCTTGCGATAATTTGCTGAGAATGATGGTTTCCAGCTTCATCCATGTCCCTTACAAAGGACATGAACTCATCCTTTTTTATGGCTGCATAGTATTCCATGGTGTATATGTGCCACATTTTCTTAATCCATTCTATCATTGATGGACATTTGGGTTGGTTCCAAGTCTTTGCAATTGTGAATAGTGCCGCAACGAACATACATGTGCATGTGTCTTTATAGCAGCATGATTTATAATCCTTTGGGTATATACCCAGTAATGGGATGGTGGGTCAAATGGTATTTCTAGTTCTAGATCCTTGAGGAATCGCCACATTGTCTTCCACAATGGTTGAACTAGTTTTTTGGTATGGAGCCTCGCTCTGTTGACCAGGCTAGTGTGCAGTGGCATGATCATGGCTCACGGCAACCTCCACCTCCCGAGTTCAAGCAATTCTCTTATCTCAGCCTTTCAAGTAGCTGGGATTGCAGGTGCACACCAGCATGCCTGGCTAATTTTTGTAGTTTTAGCAGAGACAGGGTTTTACCATTTCCCAGGCTGGTCTCAAACTCCTGACCTCAGGTGATCCGCCCGCCTCTGCCTCTCAGAGTGCTGGGATTATAGGCATGAGCCATCGCACCCGGCCCGTCATGTTGAGTTTTTAGAATCAATGTATGTAATTTACCACATTAACAGAGTAAATCAGAGAAATATGAACATTTCAACAGATACCGAAAAACTGTTTTGACAGAATTCAGTGCCAATTCATGATTAAAAAATCTCAACTAGATAAAGAAGGAACTTTCTCAACCTATGAAAGGCTGTGAAAAACATGCAGCTAACATGATACATAACATTGAATTATTGAATGCTCTCCACATTCAACTGAGAAGAAGACAAATAGATGTACTCTCTCTGCTTTGATTCAGCATCATACTAGAGATCCTAAGTAGTGCAGTAAGAAAAGAAGAAGCAATATAAGACATAATGATTGGAAAGAAATAAATTATATTAACAGATGACATTGTGAATGTAGAAAATCTTAAGAAATCTACAAAAACTACTGGCATTATTAGTAAATGAATTTAATAGTATTATAGAACATGGTATACTACTGTATGTTAGCAACAAACTTTTGGAAAATAAAGAACAGTACCACTTACAAAAGCATCCAGAAAACATAAAATATTCAGGGCTAAATTTAGTGAAAGATACATAAGACTTCTGCACTAAAACTCCCAGAGAAGATTGCTGAGAAAGATGAAAATGGAACCATACATTGTATTCATCCATTGGAGGTCTCAGTATTATTAAGATGTTAATTCCCAAATTGATTTATGGATTCAATGCAGTTCCAGTAAAAACTCCTGCAGACTACTTTTGAAGATTGTGACAAGCTCATTCTTAAGTTTATAAAGAAATGGAAGGGACCTAGAATAGCCCACATAATCTTCTAAAAGGACCAACACTACCTGACTTTAAGACTTTCTAGTCAAAAGTTGAATATAACAGATGAGAGACCAGAAATTGGCCACACCTAATATGTCATATAATTTTTAACAAGGGTATCAAAGCAATTCAATGAGGAGAAGAAAGTCTTTTCAATAAATAGTGCTGGAACAACTGGGTGTATATAGGGGAAAAAACAAACCTCAGCTTCAATCTCTTACCATACACGAAAACTAATTTAATATGGACATTAGACCTATGTTTAAGCTAAAACTTTAAGTTTCTGAAAGCAAGCATAGGAGAGTATCTTCCACCTTGGGTTATGCTACCACTTAAAAAAATTGAAAAGTTAAATTTCATCAAAATAAAACTACTTATCAAAGATATCTTTAAGGAAAGGAGTAGGCAGGCCACAGACCGACAATGTATTTGCAGCATATTTTTCTGATAAGGGACTTGTAGCTAGTAAAGCACTTTTATAAGTCAGTAATAAAAAGGCAACAGAATTTTTAGTGGACAAGAGCCTTGAACAGTCAGTTGACAAAGGTGTATATATATATGTGTGTGTGTGTGTGTGTATACACACTTGGAAAAGTGCTCAGCATTATTAGTCGTCAGGGAAATGCAAATTAAAGTCACAATGAGAGGACACTAAAAGTTACCTAAATGAAATAGACTGACAACACAGATGTTACAAACACCAGTTGGAGTATAAGATGATATTATCACTTTGGAAGGTGGTTTTGGCAATTTCATTGAAAGTTAAACACATACTGCCCTATATCTTAGTAATTTCACTCTTAGGTGTCTAAGAAATGAGAATATATATTTATCAAAAGTATAATAAAGTGTGATCCCAAACTGGGAACAATGCAAATTTCCAGTACCAGGAGAATGAATAAGCAAATTGAGGTATATTCATGCAATACAACTCAACAATTAAAAGGGACAAATTACAGATATGAGAAAGAATGTGGATTTGAGTAAGAATGTGGATGAATTCTAGAAACGTTAATTGAACAAAAGCCAGACACAAAAGAGTACATACTTTGATTCCATTTATGTGCACACAGCTAAGCTATGGTGGTAGAAATCAGAACAGTGGTTGCTTCTTGAAGGAAGAATGGATTGAAAAGGGGCGTAAAGGAACTTTCTGGGATGATAGAAATGTTCTGTATCATAGTAGGGAAGTGGATTATCTGGATGTATGTATTCATCAAAACAGATCAAATAACATTTGTGCCTTTCACTGTATTTAAATTATAAATCAATTTTTTTAAAAGTAATGGAATAGTATATACAGGAAAGAGTATTTGCTTAGAAACTAGATGTGGTTTCTCTTCTTAACTCTGCCCTACATTTATGTATGCCTTGGGCGAGTTCATTCAATCAATCATTTGTTCATAATATATGTAATGAAGTTTTGAGCATATAATCAGTAATGTGCTATGCTAGATGCTCAAGATATAAGAGTAAATAAGAGAGACAAAAGCTGGTAGAGAACATAGAGAAACAAAATATGGTGTGGTCAGTGCTCTCTAACTGAAGTATGACTGTGAAAAGAAGTAGGTAACTCTAGGGCTGGGGAAGGCTTCGCAGAGGAGGTGACATTGAACTGGATTTTTAATATTTTAGGAGTTTGTAATACATGCAGAAGGTATGGCTTTTGCCTTGACTACACATGGCGAAAGTAGTCCTTTTACCATTGCTGGTATTTAAGCTTCAACACTCTTCCTGTACCCATATTATCTCAGGATTGGACAAACTAGACTTTGTTGACCACATCTGTATCTTTACTGATTGTTATTAATAGATCTTTGACCATTTTCTTCTCAGCTTTTACTTTTATCTGGGGAAATCTGTTTCTTTCTCTCTGTCTCGCCTTGGGGTATATCTAAACTACGGACTCTATTTTTATTTTTCTTACCAGTTTTGATTCGAAGTCTTAGTTTGCGAACTGTTCTTCAGTATGCACAGTAAATTCCTACAGTTCAAATTTGATCTGATTTTGTTTTTGTCAATGCCAGTTTGTTGCCAGTGGTGATCTCTGGAGACAAGATTATGAGATTCAACTCTTTTCTGCATTTAATTTTTTAAACTTATGCATTCAAGATTTTTTAACATTTTTATTATGTAATTAAAATATCTACTTCATAAACACTATGGTGGCAGCTCATTTGCTAAGAACTCGTCAGCTGAGAACCTGTTGACTCAGTTGAGGAAGCCTTCCTCTGATACATCATGTTGCTGTTCTTTTATTATAAAACTATATATATATATATATATATATGAGGTTAGCCCTAGAGAAATTTTGAAATAAACTGGTTGCAACAAACTGGGTTTATTTTGCATTTTCAATATCTACTTTGTAAGGTTGATTAAATGCCTCAAAACTGTGTCTTTTTCAGCTACAAAGAATTTTTCTCATTTGGCTTTCTTTCACATAAATAGGTTTTACAGAAGGCGACACGTGTTGTTCAGAGTGAAGTGGACAAATGTGTAGACGATATTATGAAGGAAAAGAATATTAACCCTGAGAAGGATGCCAGGTGTGCTTTTTGTACCTTATTATTTTTTTATTATGCAGTCATAACCTGTGAAGTATCGCGATCACACACTGTTGTAACACTCTAGAGCTGAAGGGTTTGTGGAGATCATCTGATTCAGTGTTCTCACTTCACAAGAGGAGCAGTCGAGATCCAGAGAGGACAGTGATAGAATCAGTACTAGAACCTGTATCTCTTGGTTTCCAATCCAGAACTAATGCCAGTATATCATCTGCCTTCTTCAAGGTGTCTTACCATGACTTTCCCAAGGTTAATAACTTTGGCTACTATGTCTTTTGAAATACAGTTCCTATATCCTCTAGTAAAATCCTCCCAGGCTCCTCCATTCTGAGTTAGATGCATTGCTGTGGCATCTCATAGTTCTATCATACCATGTAACCCATTGTACTATAGTCATTGATTAACTCTTGTCCTTCCCCCTGTAAATTCTAAGTTCCATAAGAAGAGGACTTATCCCATTTCTGTGTTCCCAGCACTGGTATGTTGACATAGTATTTCATATTTTTTCCTTCATTCGGCATTTTCTATGTGAATATAGAGGAAGGAACAATTTATTTCAGCTGAGACGAGGAAGGGTCTAGGAGGGAACTGTGAGGATAGTTCCACCTAAGAGGTGGCATTTACGCTGGACCTTCATGAGTGGGTAGGGGAGCAGTGCCAGCAAGGCACAGAGACATAGAACTATTAATACTTTTGTATCTGGAATGATAGGGAGTTATTTGTAGCTGGATCATTGAATATGATCAGAGTAGTGGCTGGAGAAATGAGTGAAATGCTAGATTGATACATCACAGAGTCTTGTATGCCATACTGAAGGATGTAGATGTTGTCCTCTGGTTTTTAAGCAAACAAGCTACATTTTTAGATATGTATTTTAGGAAGATGGAGAGTAGATTTGATGATGTGGGAGGCTGGCAGAAGGAGTAAACAAGAGGAAACTTGAGTCATTCAGGCAAGAAATGACAAAGGCATAAATACAGTAGGAGAAAGAGTGCTATGAGGATTGCTTTGTTCAGAGCTAGAAAGGATTAGGGTATGGGGATCTTTGGACACATTGTGATGGAGAGAGGCAGGTCAGAACTTGGAGTGTTGTAGCTTGGGGAACTAATGGGTAGCGATGTCATTAATAGATCTAGAGTCTAAAGAAGAAGCATGTTTCTGTAGGGAAGAGAAGCAGTTGTATTTAGAGCTGAGATAAACTGTTGTGGAGCTATTTGTTTTATATATACTTGGAAATTTAAGTCTACTGGTGGTATCTGGCAATAAGGATTTAGGAATGTATAGGATTGCCCAGAGAAAACATGAAGAGAAAAGCCTTCACAAATCCTTACAGTTGTGAAGTTTGCCATTCCTACCATATCTTGCCCTCTTTCTAGGCCTTGTATCCTATATAATTCTTTGCATAATGTTTTGTGTTTAAGGAGGCCTTTGGTGGGTCTTATGTTAAACTGAAAGCCAGGAAATGCTTTCTAAATAGATTTACGAACCCCAAGCTATGAAAGACTTTATTGTGATAAGAAGGTATGCTTTTTAAAAATAATTTTATTATTTTTAGTTTTAAAATCTGCATGAAGATGTGCTTACTTCAGATAACTGGTTATAAACAGCTCTATTTGGATGTAGAAAGTGTGAGGAAAAGGCCATATGATTCTGATAACCTACAACATGAAGAGCTACTCATGAAGGTAAATTTCTGTTTTCTTTATGTGGAGTTGTTGAACACTAGAAAAATAAATCAGGCTTCAGCTAAGTAAAGTCTGTGCAAATTCTAGAGGCTTATATGGCTAGGCTTATATGGTTTCTTTGCCCTTAGAGAATTTTATTATGCTGGATTTCATTGATATGGAAAGATTTTTAGTTAGCTGTTTTTATAATTTTCTGATAAGCATTATTATAAATATATAATGAATATGTTTTTATGAATATATTCAAATAAATTTTATTTTAATGTTTTTAATTCTGAAATTAAAACCTATAGAGATCTTTTCAACCAAAAAGTATATGTCTACAAGTTTCAGATTTTTCGCCTACTTTTTATACAAACTGCTCATATAAGTTACACATTTTTTTAGCTACTTACAAATTGAAAACATGCGTATCCCTTTTCAGATTATTATGTCCAATCTTTTGGGACTTACAGAATGTTAATTGCCAAGTAATGCCACAAAAGATTTAAACTTTATGAAAGTAAAAATTATTTACTTAGAGTTTTTCTATTTCTTATTTCTAAAGTCTAAATGCATAAAGCCAATGAGGTGCCAAAATTAAAGAGTAATAGACCTAGAGTAAACTTTACAGATCATCTAGACTAGTCTCTTTGTTTGAGGGATGAAGATTCTAAGGACCAGGGAGATGAAGCGATTTGCTTTAGTCCTAGAATGATAGGGACTGGAACACAGCTGAATCTCCTGCCCATCCTCTACACCTATTCCAATTTTATTTGAAAATGGTTAAAGAAAGTAGCACATTGCACTTGGAATTAGGAGTTCTGTGGAAACAAACATTGATACTATCTAAGTAACACTAAGCAATACAAGTTTAAAAACAATAAAGGATTTTTTTTGCTTTTCAGGAAAAGTGTATTTTGTTAAATGAGGATAATACAAATATGTGTCTCAACGGGTTATTGTATGGATGAGTTTTTATATTTAAAGTGTTTAAAATAGTACCTGGCACTTACTGAGGATTAACTGCTATTTCTGTCCCCATTGTCATTGTTATTCCCTTCATGTTAGGCCCTTGCTACACAATACCGTTCCTTTTGAGGGAAAAAAGTACAAGTCCTAGCCCTCTAGTCCAAGGAATTTTACCTTGGTGCTTCATGGTGAAATTCAGTTCTACACTACACATACTCAGCAGTCTACACTACACATATTCAGCAGTTCTACACTACACATGCTCAGCAGGGTAAAGAGCTGTGCAATCCGTCTTGCTTTACGTGTAGTCCAAGGACCACCTTTACTAGAGTTAACTTGTGTTCAGTATGTAGATTCCAAAGTTCCACCTTAGACTTACAAAAATTACAATCTCCAGGAATGGAACCCAGAAATTCAATATTCATGCATATTAAGTTTTTAATACTAGTGTTTCTATACTGTGGCTCTCACCACATCACTGAGACCTTATCATTGGCATGATCAAACTCCTTGCAGAATTCATGGAGAGAGGCTAATGTAAGCAAGTCACACGTGTTGGTAATAAAAGTAGTGACCAGGTAAACCTAATCTAATGCTTGGATTTAGCTTCAGAGCCAGTCTTGACCCTGTTTTAAAACACGGTCACAAGTCTTCACATTTTATTTTAGGTAACAGAATACTCCTTTCATTAGGGGTCCTTATTCAACAATGCCTGAAATGGTAATGAAATGGGAAAAAATGCAAGTATTTCTGTTTTGCAAATTTTCACAGACCTTTTTTAGTCAACTTCTGTGTCTTTCATTTGATGACTTGTATTGAATTTAAACAATAAATTTTCTTTATTTTGCATTGATTAGTTTGTTGGTATGTAATATTTGATAGCTGTTTTTGTTGTTGTTGTTGTTGTTTTTGAGATGGAGTCTCACTCTGTCACCCAGGCTGGAGTGCAGTGGTGCGATCTCGGCTCACTGCAAGCTCCGCCTCCCAGTTTCACGCCATTCTTCTGCCTCAGCCTCCCGAGTAGCTGGGACTACAGCTGCCTGCCACCACGCCTGGCTAATTGTTTGTATTTTTAGTAGAGACAGGATTTCACCATGTTAGCCAGGATGGTCTTGATCTCCTGACCTTGTGATCCGCCCACCTTGGCCTACCAAAGTGCTAGGATTACAGGCGTGAGCCACCACACCCGGCTTGATAGTTGTTGTTAAATCCTCATCCTTAAAGATATTTATTTAAAACCAAATCATATTTTTTTAAACTGAAAATCTGTAAAACAAGTTGGAATGCTATCAGTATCATTTCTTCATCCTCTTCTGTCTTAGACCTATTTTCATTCTGATTAAGCACTATTAACCCACCATTATAATAGAGCCTATTTAACTATACGGTATCTGAAGCAAGGGCTAAGTTCCTAAAATACTGTGTCCTTCTCAAGCAAGCAGTTTACCAGTTCTGGGCATATCTGTATTAATTAGTAAATAAAGACGTCTCATTGTTTTATATTTTTGTGTATTATTTGTTTTCAAAATCTGTTCTTTATACTAGTCTTTTTAATGGGAATAAATGTGCTGCATGTTTTAGGATAATTGAAAAATGTTCTAAAGTCTTTGCTTAACCTATGATTTTTCTACAAAAGTTATTTGATAGCATTAAATTACTAGTTATAAGCTATGAGAAAGAAAATGTCTTAATAATGGAAATATGTTTGTACAGCTTTGGAATCTTCTAATGCCCACGAAGAAGTTAAATGCTAGAATCTCCAAGCAGTGGGCTGAAATTGGTTTCCAGGGTGATGATCCCAAGACAGACTTCCGAGGCATGGGCATACTTGGATTAATCAATCTTGTGTAAGTGAAAGTGAACTTTCTTTTCTTCCCTAAATGAAATTACATGTAATCTCTGATCTAGTTACTTCTAGTAAGAAGTGATCTAGTTGATTCATACTATCTCTGAATTTTAATAACTGCAGTGCTGGAAGTATTTGCTAATGTGTTGGCAACAATATGAAGATATTGGAGGCCAGGCACATGGCTCAGGCCTGTAATCCCAGCGCTTTGGGAGGCTGAGGCCAGAGGATCACTTGAGGCCGGAAGTTTGAGACCAATCTGAGCAACATAGTGAGACCCTGTCTCTACAAAAATAGCCAGGCATGGTGGCATTTGCCTGTAGTCCAGCCACTTGGGAGGCTGAGGCAGACGGACTGCCTGAGCCCAGGAATTCAAGTTTACAGTGGGTCATGATTGTGCCACCTCCAGTCTGAGTGACAGAGCAAGACCCTGTCTTTAAAAAAAAAAAAAAAAGACATTGGTGGAAATATACTTGTGTTTGTGATTTCTTTACTTACCAATGCTTTCCTCTCCTTTTTCTTTCTGATCTCCATTCTGATACTTCTTAAAGAATTATGTATCCTCCTACTGCCTTTATTCACTTGCTTTTTCTCTCTGGGCTCCCTGATTCTATTTTGGCAAATATAACCAGGTAAGGTGATAATAAAGTCTCTTTACTCTTTACATATATTCTTCACCACCTGTGACAACTTACCTACCTGCATTCCTGACTTTGTATAGACTACCATACGAACTTTCTCTCCTTTATCTTCTTTAATACTTATGATTAGCTACATGTATGAAACCCCAAATATGTAACTCAAGTCACAATTGATAGCCAAAACTATTCTAGAAGATGGCCTGGAAGATTAATTTCCTCCCATAAGGATATGCAGATGTACAAATTGTAGTGTTTGGGTCTGTCCATGAAATTGTGATTTTATAGACTATGAAATGTCTAGAATGGGAAGGCTAGGCTATTAAAGTTTGGATAATTCTTACTGTGAAAAAATCCTGAAATTGGCTAAATTAGGTTAATTTTGATGTTTTTTCTTATTGTGTATATATGTTTATTTTTCACCATTTGATACTGCTAAGACAGGTTAACTAAATTCAGGAAGGAAATTAAAAGTTGTTCTATATTACAGATTGAATATTTTAAGAGTAGTTTGACTATTAATGCAATGCTGAATTATTACAAAAATGAAATATAGTCAACTGAAGGCATTTTAGAGTCAATCTAGGGATAAAGTAGAAAAATTAGAGTACTTAGGAAAGCATTGCATTAAGCAAGACTTTTGAAACTGTTTTAGTGTTTACAGATCCCTTAGGGAATCTGATGAAAGCTTTGTATACTCTCTCCCTGGGAAACATATACACAGAAAAAGTTGTCCGTAATGTAAGATGGTTCCTGGATTCCCTTTCATTCATAAATTATCATTAATTCATGGACTTCTAAGTTAACAGCCCCTGGTGTAATGGGTTGAAAATTAGAGCCAGTGAAGAAATAAGGAAGTTTATATTAATACTCTGTAGAAGAATAAAGAGGGAAGAGTTAATTAGAAATTTCTATGCTTTATGAAAATGTCAATGATTTTGTCCCCTAAAATGTAAAACCATGGACATTTATTTTTTATTTTTATCTTCATATGAGCATTGTATGTGTGTGTCTATCATTTAGAGGTGATCCTAAGGTTAAATAGATTTGGTATAGGCCAAAAGGATGTATGTGCCTACAAATAGATAGTTCCATATCCATCTCTCTTGTACTACTAATACTTCTGTTTTATAGCTAGTATTTTAGTTAGATGATTGATGAAGCAAAAGATTGTTGATTCCCTTCTGATTGCACTGAAAATGGCACTAAACAACACAGACTTAAATTGTAGTGGAAGGAACGAACCTAGGTGAAAGGAAGAGTGTCCTAACAGGTACATATTGACTCTTCTATAGAACTAGAACCAGCAAAGAAACAAAAATAACTCAGTTTTGTTTTTGTTTTTTAAGGTAGTCTCTTTTTATATTATCTATTTATTAAAGTACTTTACAGTCTTGTCAACGACCTATATTCTGTACTACATAGGCCTGATAGCTAGGAAATTTTGACTGAGAAGCATTTGTGAATCACTGAAGTGATTTGAGACAGATATCAGGATACTCATGGCAATACTAGAACTATCATTTTGACAGTAGCTTTTTAAATTGGTTCTGGATATCTTATATTTGAATGGCATACATTCCTGTGATTATTTTTCTTAAACTTTTTAGGTATTTCAGTGAAAATTACACTAGTGAAGCTCATCAGATTCTTTCCCGTTCAAATCATCCAAAACTAGGGTAAGCTGGGTATATTAAAGAAACTGCAATCTCTCACATTTATAATGCTTAGATGATTAATGAATTTGAAAGTATATCAAGATATTTCTTAAAATGAAGTATTTAATAAGAACTTTATAAAGAATATTACATGATACATTATTTTTAAGGATAAATGTGATTGTAAACCAATTTTGTATGTATTTCAATATATTTTTATCACAAGATATAGTTTATCTATACAATGGAGATAAGGGCCCTTATAAAATCTTTTTGAGAAATAGATTTGAAGACAGGCAGAGGAAATAGTTTGGAAAAATAATAGGAAAATGGGAAATAGCTTTGAAAATTATAAAGTGAAATGCAAACTGAGGTAGTTTTATTAGCCTTACCATTATTTTTTAAAATATTCTGATAGTATCTAATCTTTGAAAAAGCATAGTAACAATGTTAGATCATAAAAATAAGTACCCTGATAATGGAGAAGAAAATGTCAGATTATCCAGTGTATTTTAGGAATCAGTGAGATTTGGTGTCTGTAGTCCCCCGACCCCTTTTTTATTTAAGAATTTTAGTTTTAGATACCATGTGAACAGAGCTTTATTTTTATTCCTTAGATTATATCCAGAAAAATATACAGGCTTTAAAAGTAAAAATGTTAAATTCTTTCTAGTATATTTTTCTTACCATGTAGAGATTATCATAAAAGCAATACTGTGTTAAACCTGAAGTCATTTTCTACTAATTCCTAACGTAATTTTAATTTATTTTATGAGTTATTCGGCTAGCTGGTGTAACTGGTAATGTTTCTGACATAGGTATTCTTATGCAATAGTTGGAATCAATCTTACAGAGATGGCTTATAGCTTACTGAAGAGTGAAGCTTTGAAGTTTCATCTCTATAACTTTGTTCCTGGTATACCAACAATGGAACACTTTCATCAGTTTTATTGTGAGTATTAAAATGAGTTAAAACTAGATCTAAGATAATTCTTAAACCACTAGGAATGTATAACATATATTTTAATCTGTTGCCTCTATGAAGTATATAACTTGTGTTTATCATTTTATTACTTAGGGTCTTTGAAAAACAAGAAAATAGTGGAAGATGAGTCCCCAAGAGTATTCTGTACTTCAGTTTTTATATTTGCTGATTATGAAAGGCAGTATTTCACATGTAGACACATTAAGATTCATGTAATTTTTCTTTAAGCATTCATTTTCCAGCTAACTACAAAATATATTTTCCCTCTTGGATGCTGGTTAATGAATGCTGTTAAGGACAGGACAGACCATTTGCAGATTATTTTATTATTTTTGGAAGGAAATTTAATTTAGAGGAACTTTTCACCTCCACCTGCCTTGAATTTCAAGGCCAGATTTTCTTGTGGTAGGTCAGAGATACTAAGTAACTGTTCTAAAGCTGTCTTTACTTCTCTGTTCCATTCACTTTTAGTGATAATATTTGAATACTGAAGGTTTAATTGAATGAATCCATCTTCTGAAGCTATTGTTCAGAAGCAAAGAACTCAAATCTAGTTTTTCTTCACATACTACTTTTCTTGATCTTTTTCTGTCTTTAGAATGTCATTTGCATGTTGGTAGCATATAAGAAACTACTTAGATAATAGGTGGCCAAATCATAATTTCTTCATCTCCATTGTTGAAAATATCATCCATGTCTCTTTTTCGCAGAACCTTTCCTGCCTTTACTTACACCCTAATTCCAGTTTTGTCTGCATCTTAACTTTCTCTTGCATGTGTCTGTTTCTTTCCGTCCCCATTGTAACTGTACAATATCAGGCCTTTGTTACTAGGTTACTGTAATAGCCTTTGGCGGTCTGTTTATGGTAACACTCTTCTATTTCTTCTCCACATTGAAAGTATAGTTATTTAAAATGAAAATCTCATCATTTTACTCCACTGCCAAAAATTCTTCGAAGGATTCCCATTATAAGGCCCTACGTAATCTGAACCTTGGTAACCTCTCCAGATTCATCTTTTGCCATATACCAGCCCCCCTCACACCCCTACAAACTCTATAGTGGAGGCATCCCAGTCTTCTTTTTAGTTGCTCAGATATATTATGCTCTCTCTTGACTCTGTGCCTTTGCAAGTGACATTCGCTTGGCCTGAACACTATTCCAGCTCCCTCTGTTCTTTCCAAGTGATGCCTTCTCATCTTCCAAATCTCAGTTTAGACGTGCTCTTCTCGGGGAAGTTTATTCGTTTACTGTGTGTTAGGTGTTGTTCTAGGCCCTGGGGATATAGCAGAGAAGACAAAGTCACTGAATTCAGTGAGGAGCTGTCATCTTCAGAATCAAAATTTCCCCCTAATGCAGTGTCCACCTCCAGATACTACTTCATTTCTCTGCTCCCTTTCTTCAGGAAACTTTTTCAATAATTGCTGTTTTTCATTTCTTCATCTCCAGTTTTTATCTAATTCCAATTTAGTTTCTCTCTCCATGACTGCTCACACTGATTTTTCTCAAACACCAAGTTTTTTTGCTGCCTAATACCATTGCCATGTTTTTTCTTCATGTTATTTGTTCCTTTTAGTGGCACTGGGCATAAATGACCACACGTTTCTTCTGGAAACATTATCGTGACTTTTCTGATGCCACATTCTCCTGGCTTTTCTCCTGCACCACAGGAATTCCTGTAGACATCCACTACCTTACTAGATGTAGGAGCACCTCAGGGCCCAGCCTGTGCCCACTCCTCTCTTTAGCCCACATACTTTTCCTAAGTGATACCATCTGGTCCCTTGCTTGAAATGCCAAATGTGCATTAAATGCCAAAATATATATCTTCAGCCCAACCTCTACTTTAACCCCAGCACTGTATGTACAGATCCTTTTTCTCCCTTAATGGATAAGGATAAAGAATCATATGGGCATGCTTACACAAAGTAGGAGCCAATGCAGCATGTCTTTAAATGGAAGGACAGGTTTCAGGTCCCTAAGGACAGCATTGATGATTCTACCCAAGTGTACTGAAGATTTCTGGCAGGCATGAGATGCTTTCCTTTACCATTCCAAAGTGTTGTCGCTGGGACTTTGCTAACTTGCCTCTATTTTTTTTTTTTTTTTTTTTAGATGAAATATATCCCTTGTTCATTAGCTACCTGTTGAACATAAATATAAAAACAATTTAAAAACTCCCCAAACAATTAAGCAGTTTCCCGTATCTCAATATATACAGGAAGGTGGTAGGTTAGAAAGCGGTACAAAATGACCTCTGTGTAGTAGTTTTCCCCTAAAGACCAGGGAACTTGAGGATCTGTGGGAACTGTTGCTCTCCAGCACCCTCACACCATCTCGGCTGGCTCCTCTATAGGAAGGACATTAAAGTGTAATATCTGAGGTAGAAAAGTCATTGTAGAACCCTTTCAGTTGCCTCCTGTCAGCTCAATCTATCGAGCTATATAGATCATCCTGGAAACAGTGAAGCTTATGGTTTTCAATTATTTTGAGACATTAAAATGCACATACACATATACCTATGTACCTTTTAAGCAGAAGTTTCCCAAAAACTTGATTTTCATACCCGTTACCATTGGAAGTTTCACATCTTAAGTAAGGTTCTGCTTTTCTTCTTAGGAGGAACGTATTCTAACTAGAATAATAACTTGAAATCTTGTCTTTTGAATGTGCATACTTTTTTTGTTAGAGGAGTGGGATCAATTGGTTTGCACAAATTAGTTCCAAGGTCATAGTTTCTCTCCAGAAGGAAGAACAGTTAAGAGATTAGTTTCCACATTTTTTGTTTCCCTACGATCTGCCTTCATCTCCCCCTTTGCTTTTGATCTCTCTGCCTTTGTTTTAATGCGTCCTGTGTAGGAAGGGCTGGAAACATTGGTAGGTTAGCTTTTTAGCACCATTGTCATCTTGTACGTCCAAACTGTGAGCAGGTATCTGCCATGATTGTGGAAAGTTACTGACCACCATTCCAGCAGGAGGGCTTAGGATTTGGGGACCTCTGTCTTCTGTATATTCCTGTCTAGGATGTCTCCATTCTAGTTTTGTAGGGCCACAATTTTAGCTGGACTTCTGGTTTGGTGGTTCCAAAAAAAACCAAATAGTAACACCTCAAATTTATATAACAAGGAAGTTATGCCTCAATAACAACTTTATTGAGGTATAATTTATATACCATAGAATTTACCCATTTTAAAATTACACTTAAATGGATTTTAATGAGCTAAATTGGGTAGCCATCATCATCATCCACTTTTAGAACATTTTCATCACCCCAGTGAGATGCAAGTTTACAGTTAATCCCCCTTCCTATGGTTTTCTTATCCTTAACCTCTGCAGTAAATACATGCAGGGAATTTCAGGTTTAGACATTTCATATGGCAATTTCTACAGAGTCTAAGTGTTCCAAACATCTGGACTCAAAAGGACAAAATATGTGCATCATGGAAAACAGCTCTGTTCCATCACTTTTGGCAAAGCTTTGGGGGTCTTATGCCAAGGATGGCCCTGCCAGTTTCCTAGAATTTCAGTATTTTTTCCTGTGGTTTCCTGATGTCACATTAAATCACTTTAGCTATTATAGTCTCCGTTCTTCAAGTTAGTCTTTCTCTGACACTGATTTATATTATAGGTCAACAGCCTCACTCTGAAGCATGAAGTTCCTAGTGCTTTAACTTGAGCATTTTGTTCCAGGCCCATGTAGTCATTTGAATGGGCCACATTACTGACAGTAATGAAAAAGCAATTTAAAGGACATAAGAATGGTAAATATCTAAAACATAATAACCAGATATACCAAAACAAATGGTATGGCCATGAAATTTGGATGGCTATCTCCGTTATCATACTATGCAGAACATTAATCTCTAAATGTATTTATTGTACATCCCTAACAGTGTATGGGGGATAGAGATAGCAGATGGTATTTCTTCAGAGGCTTCATTTCTTGATATTACTTGTATATCATGGTTGACAAAAATCTGTTTTATCATATATTGAGAATAATCCAAAAATCTTTCTTAAACTGGCCTTCTTATGAAATGATATTTCAGTGTTGGAATATGATGATTTTAACCATTAATGTTTGCTTTATGACCAATATTATTAAAATAGGATTTCCATTTTTTTCATAGTAGGCAATCATGATAGTCTAGCCACCCTTTTGTGTAAAGTCATTGGCTTTTGCAACAGAGACCACTTACAAACTGTGTGATTTGGGGCACATCATTTAACTTCTCTGCACCTCTGTTTCCTTTTGGTAGAGTGGGAATAACAACATAGTACTTGCATCCTAGGGCTGCTCTGACAATATATGAGCATTTAGTGAGCACTGTAGAAATATTTGAAAAAATAATTCAATAAATACATTTGATTACATACAAAGTAGGACTGGGGTGGTTTTATTTTTTATTTTTTGTTTTACTTTTTAACAGCTTTATTAAAGTATATGGTAAACACATATTATATAACATATGATAAACTGCACATATTTAAATATGTATGATTTGATAAGTCTTAACATATGTATACACCTGTGAAACCATCTCCATGATCCAAATGGTGAATATAATCACCACCTCTGAAAGTTTTTATGTGCTCCTTGGTAATCCATGCCTCTTGCCCCTCCCCCTACCATCCTAGGTACCACTTTTTTTTTGTCACTATAGAGGAGTTTGCATTTATTTTCTAGAATTGTATTTAAGTGAAATCATGCAGTTTTTACTCATTTTGGTCTGGTTTCTTTCTGCATAATTTGTTATGTGTATTAATAGCTTTTTTTACTTGTTACTTTTTTAAATTGACAAATTAGCTCATTTATTTTCATTGCTGAGCAATATTCCATGATATGCTACACATTGTTTATGTACTTGTTGATAGATATTTTGATGCTGGGTGGTTTTAAATTCACGTTTAAGTTTACGTGTGTGTGTGTGTATATAAACAAGTTCAGTTTCATGAAATACCTTTAACATTTTGGGGGTTGGCCGGGCGCGTTGGCTCAAGCCTGTAATCCCAGCACTTTGGGAGGCCGAGACGGGCGGATCACGAGGTCAGGAGATCGAGACCATCCTGGCTAACACGGTGAAACCCCATCTCTACTGAAAAATACAAAAAAACTAGCCGGGCGAGGTGGCGGGCGCCTGTAGTCCCAGCTACTTGGGAGGCTGAGGCAGGAGAATGGCGTGAACCCGGGAGGCGGAGCTTGCAGTGAGCCGGGATCGCGCCACTGCACTCCAGCCTGGGCGACAGAGCGAGAATCCCTCAAAAAAAAAAAAAAAAAAACATTTTGGGGGTTAATTTGGCTACCATAATGACGATATTGAAAGCCAAAAATTTGGAAAGCTGATTTAGAGTGGATTTTTTTTTTTTAAAGAGAAGATGCTGATAGCTCATTGAAAAAAAGTAGAAATAGCTCTTAGATTTAGAAATCAAGAATTTAGTAGGAAATAGCTTTCCTACACTTTAGCCTTATCCAACATTTTCTCATTACTTGCATTTTTGTGCTTCAGAGGTTTCTCGGGAAACTTCTCAAGGTATCTTTTGAAAGTACTACACCTTTTTTTTTTTTTTTTTTCGAGATAGGGTCTCACTCTGTCACCCAAGCTGGAGTGCAGTGGTGCAATAATGGCTCACAGAAGCCCTGACCTCCTGGGCTCAAGTGATCCCTTCACCTCAGCCTCCCAAGTAGCTGGGACAACAGGCGCATCCCACCATGCCTGGCTAATTTGTGTACTTTTTGCAGATATGGGGTTTTGCCATATTGTCCAGGCTGGTCTCTTAAGTCCTGGCCTCAAGCGATCTGCCCACCTCAGCCTCTGAAAGTGCTGAGAGTTCAGGCATGAGTCACTGCTCCCGGCTGAAAGTCCTGCATCTTTTAAGCTTGAGGGACGTTGTTGATTTTTGAGACCAATAGTAAATGCACACTAAATCGTTTATTGAAATTGCTGTTCATTTTGAACATACAGAAACATTTCTTATTTAGTCCCTCAGGCCTCTAATAGTTTTGAGATTACTTTTGATTATTGTATTCTAATATGGAATTTAAAGGATGGTTATATACTTTGTAAAAATGAGATGGTTTGAATGTGATTCCAACATTGAGGACTAAATATTTTGTTTTTCTTTAACTGTAGGTTATCTTGTCTATGAATTTGACAAGTTTTGGTTTGAAGAAGAACCAGAAAGCATTATGTATTTCAACTTGTATAGAGAGAAGTTTCATGAAAAGATTAAAGGACTTCTACTGGATTGTAATGTAGCACTTACTTTAAAAGTATAAATCATCCACTGTATCTTCTATTTCTACCACATTTTGCACATTCAACAGAATTTATATGTTGTAATAGGAATTATCTGATCAATTACACTCTTATATATAATTTCCTACAAAAATATTTCAGAAATTCTATTTAAGAAAGCTAGTGGACAATCAGTGTATGTTTACAATTGTTTATACACTGTTCTCCAAAGGTACCTTATCCTTCCAAAGATCCCCTCTGTAGAGTCATGCGAGCTACAGTTTGGAACTTGGGACTTAGCCCGTTGGTGTAAAAGTATAAATCAGGTATTTGTATTAAATTGGTTGATTAAAATGTGTAAAATCAATTTTCATTTTTATGTGTTGTGGGATCAAGTTGGTATCTTTTTTCAAAGCTCTTTAAGGTTTTTTTTTTGGTTTTTAGTTTGGAAATGGCTGTTTTTAATTTTGTCTGATTTTTATTTCTAGGGTAATTAACAGGAAGAGTGTTTCTTTATGATTTTCTTTGTTTGCATCTTAATTACATGTCATAATGTTGCTTCATTAGTAGCAAACAGAGTAGAGATACGGCAGAGAGAATAAAGAATTATAGCCTCCTTTTGGGTTTCTGTGATTATTGAGCATAACTGATGAGAGAATGACAGTATTGGTGACTAGCTTTTTTGTTTTTAAATAACACACTTTAAAATGCCACAGTGTTATTTGAAAGCTTAAAGGCATTTTCTCATCTTCAGTATTTGCTTTTTATCAGTTGTAGAAAAGAACCTTAATGTTTTCTTCTCTAGCTATGTATGTTTATGAAACTGCTTTACTTGTGTATGAAAGATCTCCACCTATGTATGTTTATGAAAAGAGATGTATTTGCCAAGAAAATCTTGATTATATAAAAAACAAAAAGATTATAAAAGACAGTTTTTATTTAAATAAAACTGTCTTTGAAACTTAAGAAAGTTTGTTTTAAAAAAAATCTCAGTTAAACATCATTGGTTTATTTGACTTACTGTTAACTCTTGCTTCTCTTTGACTCCATGGTGTTTTTAGATAACGATGTATGAACTTTATGTTAACGGTTTGTGGGATACTAAAATAACTTGAAGATGACATGATGACTGTGCATTTTATATAGTTTTATTCTCCTAAAATCTCAGGAGGGCAGCAAGTGCTGTCAAGGATTATATAGTGATGAGATTCTTATGGGAATGATTTCTTCTTGGTGTGTTTTACACATTTGTACTGATAGCAAAACTAAAGTTTAAAGCAGGAAAGTTTAAGTTCTCCTTAAATCCTACAGAAACCAACCTTTTGAAGACATAATTTCATCTAAAACATGATGATATTTAGCACACCTTTTAATGTGGGTGTATATCAAGTGTTTAAGGACTGGCTCGTATATAATAGAGCAAGACTAGAGACTTTTTAAGTATTTGCTCATGTCTGTTGACCTTTCTCTTTCAAACTTGTTAAAGAGAAGAGTGGTAAGACATATCCAATTGGAAAATAAGACGCAGTGTTGTATAGCACATACATTTAAAGTGCATGCGTTAAAATTAGTTTCTCAATAAGATAAAATTATTTTAAAATTTTAGTTCCTTTTATTACAATAGTGGCAATTTAGCTTTTCAGTATTACAGGAATTTAAAAATTGGTTTCTTGTAGGGGACATCTCAACTTTGGGAATGTCTTCACTTAATTTTTAAAAAATATTTTCATGCTTTATTGTCCAGCTATATGATACATCGCAAAATCCTGACAAGTTCATTGTATTAAGGTATTAACTATTACATGGAAAGCAATTCTGTTCATCTTTTGATGTTTGTGCTGAAAATGCTTATCTTTGTATTTTGATCCTCCAACAGCAGAGAACTTGAACTGATTTAAGCCTTTGTCAGTATACTTAAGAATGCTTTAAGTATGCAAGGGGAAAATTTTAAGTAATTAAGTTTTTTCCCTTCTAGGAAGAAAAACTATGATGATGTTAAGAAAATGTCGGTATAAAGTTTGCTCAATAATATGTTCTTTAAATCCACCTCCATATGTACGTTATAAGTATCATTCTATTTTTGCTTAAAATAATCTGCATCCATTTCAGATAGTTTTACAGCAAATTGATCTAAAAGCCACTATTAAATTCTAGGTTTGAGTCTAGAAGCCAAGCAAAATGTCACCAATGTCAGTTGTAAATTAGAATGCAACATGGGCCTTCAGACTCTTGATAGTGATATACATGAAAACAGAAATATAATTGTGTCTACCTTCCTACTTTCCCTTTTGACATATGTAGTTGGAATTTTATGTAGTCTTAAAATCCATATTTAGAATCTTACCTATTTCTATAATGTTTAGTAAAATGCCAAAGTAGTGATAGAATATTGTGGTATTGAAATAGCCAAAAAATTATGTTAGTTTTAGCATCAAAAAGGTAAATAAATGTTGAAATGAATTTTTGTATGTGCCAGATTGAAGAGAGTGTGTCAGTGACAGGAAGTAGTCTAAAAAATTAATAGTCATGGTTTTAATAGGGTCTGAAAGACAATCTTTAAAGAAATGGGAGAAATCAGGGGGTATCAGTGAACCTATACCAACCTCTCTTTGTACATAAGTATGATGATGTAGCTAGATGTAAAAATCAGTGTCTTACTGGCACCATTTACAGTTTAGAAAACAATCTTTTTCTTAAAAATTCCCATCTGATTCGTATTTTTAGGAGCTACTTGGATTTGTATGTATTTTTTCTACGTGAAAATATATGTACTCTTCACTTTTGTTCCAGTATTATAATTGCTCATGCACTCTTTCTCCCCTTTGAGAACCTTCAGTGAAATATAAGTTCATCAAAGATTTGCTCAAAGGAGAAGCATCACATGAGTATGAAAAATAGATGCTTGCAGCTAGAACAGAAAAGGTTACACATGATCATGACACAGAAGATAGGAGGTTTGACTTGGAGGGCCATAATGTTTATTATCTTTCTTGAAATAATGGGGACCAGCAGCTGTTTTCTCAGGATAAATGGTCTACCCTACTTCTCCATGAACAGGTGTGGGGAGGCTTACTTTCCATTTTCATATTTATACACCTCTCTACAAAAGCAATTTTTAATGAAGATTAGTGGAATTGTTAAAAATCTGAGAGGAATCATGAGTGGAGGTGTTTGGGGTTTTTTTCTGTATTCAGTTTTTGATGAGAAAAGTTTTAAATGTAGTACAGGTAAGACCCAACTACTACCTTACTATTATAGGATGATTCTGTGTTTCTGTTAAAGTATTCAAGTAGCTTTCTCTGGGGGAAAAGTACCACTTGGACACTTAAAGGAATTGGGATTTTTGTCTACTTTGGATAAGGCAGTTGACTTCTTAAGTAAAAGCAATAGTGTAAAATGTCATTTTGTTTGGAATGTTAAGTGAGCAAATAAAAAAACATGTTGAAATTGTTATAAGCCTTTCTGTTGATACCTCTTTTTTTCCATATTCCCTCATTTAGTCATTCATGCTCATTAAACATTTTTCTTATTTTTCTTATGTTGCTATAGGTAAATCAGAATATATAGAAAAAGGTTTTGATTTTCTTGACTTTTTAACTGCTAATTACCTATTTACAATGTTGAATGAGAAACAAGTGGTTATGAGACTGAAAATGTCCTCTATTTAAAAAGAAGCCACCACCTCCACCCGCCTGTTCTTACAAACAGTAGGAATAATTCATGCTAAACTGCACTGTTTTATTCTTAACTTTACATAAAAGTTCTATTATCCATCATAAAATGGATCTATTTTCACATAAATACATCATTTTTTACAGCTGCACAGCATTTCTGTGTGTATGTGTGTGTATGTGTGTATATCTTACTTTGAAATAAAAATATTACAGGTAGATCTGGTTGGATAAGGTTAAGTTAGTATATTAGTACTAACTTTATTAAAGTTAGTACTAATTATAATTTTAAATATATGTATATATTTGAAAATAGAAAGGCTGGAAATTAAAGACAAAACATCCATCTTAAGGAGTTTGATGAACACAATAAATGTAAAGAAAATAGACAAGGAAATATTAAAGATAAGTGCTTAAAATGCATAAAATAGGAAACAAGCATATAAGATCAACAGAAATAAGTTTTTGCTTGAAAAGACTAATATTGATAAACTTGATGATACTATTTAAGAATAAAAGAGAAAACAAATAATGTCAATGAAATATGGGACATCCCTACAAATTATACAGATGGTGAAAAAAATTAATTTTTTCAAAAATTTGAAAATTTTAATGAAATACAAAAATTTCTAGAAAAATACAGCTTACCCAAACTGTACAAGAAAGGGGGAAAGTCAGCCCTATTAAACTGAATTAGCAATTAAAACCCTTTCTGCTAAAAACTGCAGTTCTATATGACTTGCATCAGTGAGCTGAATGACACATTTAAGAGTAAAATCACTTTTCACAAACGCTTGCAAATGATAAAGAGTATAGACTGCAATTCATGAGACTGTCATAACCTTGATGACTAAAACTCCACAAGAACAGTATGAAAAAAAATTGTATGCCAATGTCACTTTAGATGCAATAATTATATACAAAATGTTAGCATACTAATCCGGAAGCTTACTAATTTTAATATATTAATGACCTGCATTTATAGATAATATTGCTTTAATATGTGATCAGTTATGGCTCAGTTGATCACCAGAATAAAACTAATGCAAGTTTTCATATTAACATTTGAAAATCATATGATAGTCTTACATGCAGAAAAAACATTTGATAAAAATTCATTTATGTTTAAAAAATAAATGAGAAATAAAAAGTGATTAATTTTATAAAGTGTATCCTTATAAACTACAACAAATACACTTTAAACAGTAAAATATTGGAATGAAATTTAGAAAGACTGGAGAACTATGGAACAGTTTGATGCAGATCATTTCCCTCTAGGGACAGACTATTAATGATAAAAATAAATGCTTTATAGATTGCATTAAATGTGTAAGATAAATATAAAAACAGTTTTTCCCAATCCAAGAGTATGTTGTATACCTATATAGTTTTAAAAAACATATTTCAATAGAATTGTATCCTTTATAGTGATACCAGACATCTTTTGTTGTATTTATTCCCAGGTACTATTTTAAAATGCTTTTTTTTTTTTTTTGAGACAGAGTCTCGCTCTGTCACCCAGGCTGGAGTGCAATGGTGCCATCTCGGCTCACTGTAACCTCTGCCTCCCGGGTTCAAGTGATTCTCCTGCCTCAGCCTCCTGAGTAAGTGGGATTACAGGTGCCTGCCACCATGAGCAGCTAATTTTTTTGTATTTTTAGTAGAGACAGGGTTTGATCATGTTGGCCAGGCTGGTCTCGAACTCCTGACCTCAGGTGATTCACCTGCCTTGGTCTCCCAAAGTGCTGGGATTACAGGTGTGACCCACCACGCCCGGCCTAAAATGCTTTTATATAAAACATTTTTAATATTGATTTTATTAGCCACTTTGCCAAACTCTTATATGTGCCAATTCTTTTGGATTTTCTGTGTACACATTCATATCACTCGTGAGCAGTAACTTTTATTTCTTTCCATCCATTTATTTGTCTTACTGCACTAGCTGGGACTTCTAGTACCATGTTGAACAGATGTGCTGTGCCAGTTTGGATTTATTCAGCAAATATTCAGTCCTCTCTATTTCCCAATAAGGAGTGCATTTCCTTGCTCCTTGATGTTAGGCTTGACCATGTGACTTGCCAAGATCAGTGGAATGTTAGTGGACATAAGCAAAGGATTGAAATAGGTTTGAGCAATTGGGCTTATTCTTGCGCCTCTGCCATCACCACGAAAAAGAGCACGCCTTGGTTTGTCCATGGGTACCAGATGAATCAGAGCCAAATGGAGTTGATCAGAACTGGTCATAAACCCATGGCCTGAATTTAAAGGCCAACTGAATTCAGCTAAGATTAGCAGAGCTGCCTAGCTAGCCTACTGTTGTGTGAATTCTAAATTTGTAATATTGGTCAAAAGATGCGCACATAAAACATACTGGAAGATTCCATTTATATGAAGTTTAAAAATAGACAAATGAGCCATGTAATTTAGGGATGTATACTTAAATAGTGAATCTATATAAAAACACACGGAAAACCATTTACCATGAAAGCAAAGTTAAGATGGTCTCAAGTTGTGATCCCGTGGGTGGAGGTGGTTCTGCGGTGCTTGCAATTTTCTGTTTCTTGGGCTTCACTTTGGTTACCTGTTAGTTCACTTTGTAATAATACATTAAAATATTCATTTGCTTTATGCACTTTTATGTATATGTGTTATATTCCACAATGAAAAATTTCCCATTTTAACAAATGAAGACAAGAAGCAAGAATGATTTGCAGACTTTATATCTTACCTTGTTTCAAGTAATGGCTTGCCTTGTTAAACAAAGAACAGAGGGTGATTATTGCCACTTACTTTGCATGAAAAAGAAAAACTTTGTGGTGATTCTCAGGCCTGTAGGGGCTTTCCCCCACCCCGGCAGTTGTGTTCCCTATCAGATGAGATCACTGAGGCTGCTATCAAAGCACTTGGTAAATCCCCAGGTACCTTCTGATAACAGATGGATTCCCTTATATTTCCTTCTGTATGGGGGCAGGGCCTATGCTTGTTTTATGTACCACTGTGTAGTATACACAATGTCTAGAGCATAGCAGATCCTCAAATATCTTCCGATGACTGGCGTTTCTCTGTACCAGGAATTGGCCAACTTGCTTCCCTCCATTTGCAACTTCCCATTGCCTGACCAGGGTCCCAGGCACAGAAATAGTTACATGTTTTATTCCTTATTCTTGAAAGAAACATGCTATTTTAAGGTTGTGATTTGTCCTAGTTTGAATTCCCTGTGAATCAGACCTTGAGGAAAGGATTTGCAGTTCATTTCGGAGGTGATCCAAGGAAACGCTGGTAACGGAGTAGGGAACCGAGATAGGGAATAGAAGTCAGCCCACAAATGTTGTAAGCTTAAAATAAAATCTAAAGCTTCCCACTGACTAAAGAACCCCCTCTTGGCCAAGGGGACCCCAGAGAAACCCTCAAAACTGAATTCCCAGCCGTGATAGAATGGAAGGTCAGACATGCTTTGTTATACCCCCTCCGTTGGATGGTTTAGACACAACTGACCAGCATGAATGTTAAAATAGAGATCACAGACTGAGGGAACAGACACTTTGTGGCAATATTCTTTGTAGCATTGTAGTCTTCTCCATAGTGATATGACACATCTTTTGTTAAATTTATTCCCAGGTACTATTTTTAAATGCTGTTATACATTTTTACAGCTTTATTTTCTTACTTCCTTTTGCTGGTATATAGAAATGTAGGTATCTAGTCTTTTAAATATTGATTTTATTAGCCACTTTGCCAAACTTCTATTATGTATGGCAATTCTTTTGGATTTTCTGTGTATACATTCATATCACTTGTGAGCTGTAAGATGCCAAATTATAAACAGGACCTAAGTCCATGCCAGGCAGGATTAAGTTACGCACTCCTACACTTAAAAGAATAAACTATGTTCTAACTGCCACAAGATTTTTCTTTTTCTCGAGCAGCTAAACAAACACTGGCCTTGAGTGTCTGAAGCAATTGCAGCTTCACCAAGTGTTGACTGGCTCCAGCCCATTTTCCACCAGCCATGACTACAGTTTTAACTGGACAAGAGGATTCTAGTAGCTTTCTCCTGATAAGAGACCAACCACTGTGGACTGGCTCTGGCCCATTTACAGAGATGGTGCATTGTGTGCCTTTGTGTCCCTGCTTCACCTTGTCATGTATAGGGCCTAACTGTAATGCATTTAAATGTTAAGTCCCCACCCCAAGGTGTAACATGCATGTTTGTTTAACATACATGCATCAGGACTGCCTTCATGAATATTCATGGATCCATCTGTAGCCTGTTGAATACGTATACTTGACCAACCCATTCAACTTAAATTCCTGTCTTACTCTTCCTTCCCTAGAAGTGCCTGCCTCTGGTCTTTGCTGGAGGATACGCTTTCTAACCTGCAGAATGAACACCTTGAAGGCTGTAACCCTTTGTAAGAAATAAAGTCTCCTTTCCAAATGCATGAAGACCCTGTGATTTTTTAGTTAGCCATAATAAGCAAAACACTACTGTGTGTTACTAGAGTTTGATCCCTCAGCAGTACTCCACCTGACAGTTGAGGGAACTGAGATATTTGTATACCAACTACTACCAGTTATTGGTTAAGGGCTGCACTGGGGCTGTGTTATTTTCCCTGCTCTTCTAGAATGCCATGCACAGGTGAGTAAAGCTGGCTCTGGTGGCCAGAAGACCCTAAAAAGGGCAGGTGCTGACATGACAATAGGAAGTCAGGTCAGCAAGCACTAAAGAGCAAAATGGTATGTGTGGGACATAGAAGATACCTGCTACAAGACCCTTTTGCAGGTAATGAATGGGGAAGATATGCATGAGGGCAAGCTGAGGATCCTCAATAGTAAATGTAATGTGGAGTTGATTAAAACAGAACTAGAATGATGTTTGGCAACCTGTAACCTTCCTGGTCGTCCAAGCTGCCAATCCTTGTATTTGGCTTAAAATCAGACTGGGCTTTGTCTTAAAAACTTCTTTTTAATATGTTTTACTGTTTCCCTATCTCTTCTGCATGCAGTTTGTAGGCATTAAAAAGGTTACTACAGGTGCTAATGATGAATTTGAATTTGGCTTTGCTGAAAGATTCCATGAAGATTCATTTTCATCTCAGTAGGAATCTCAAACTGTTCCTCTGTCTTCCCAGAAGTATCCTCCAGCTCTAAAATTACGTGATGCTAGCACAGGTGGCAGGACTCTAGTAACAATCCTGCTAAAATGAATATAGTGTCTTAGATTAGAAGTTGTTAAAGATATCATCAAATCTGGACTCTAAACATTAAAAATTTATACTAAAAACATTCAGAGTAGGTTCATGCCTATGATTCTAAAGACCTGCACTTCCTATTGGGCAGTATTGTATTCTAGGTGAACTTGACTCCTACACCCAGGTATAGATCTCAAAAGACAAACTTTAAAAGGTATTAGCAATACTTTATTGAATATATTAACTGACAACTGTGGTTAATAAATAAAAACTAATATTTTTAATAACTTCATTTTTAAGTATTTATAAATATAAACTGCATTTCACTCAGTTTCTTTTCTACCAGTTGGAATTGTAATTAAAACATGTTAAAGTTCTTCACATTCATTCACACAATTGCACTCCAGAGATGGTCAAATGCAGTAGCTTATCTGCATGACATTTGCCAGGGTATATGCTGAATGTGTTGCTTCCCCCTTCTTAAGACACTGAGAAAAAAAAGTTAACATGAAATAGGCATTAGTTTTCCTCTTTTTTATATAGAAAAGTCCAAAATTCTCTACCAAAATTCCTTTATCATTTTAGGTTAAAATAAGTGAGCAAGTTTTGTTTGTTTTTATGATCCAGTCAGCGAGATTCCCACTGGTATGTCACATCATTTTCTTGAAGCTGATTATGTGGCACAGTCCATAGTCTGCCTTGACTTTGACAGTTCTCGTTTCAGTTGTTCAAAGCACACAAACATAATGATGTTCCAGGATCCGAGTCGCAAGAAGGAAGGTACCAACCTAGAAAAGTGCATGTCATCGTTCGATTAGTTTGTTTGAGATTCTTTTTTTTTTTTTTTAATTTTTATTTTTTGAGATGAGCCTTCACCCTGTCACCCAGGCTGGAATGCAGTAGCACAATCGTACTCACTGCAACCTCGAACTCCTGGGCTTAAGTGATCCTCCCACCTCAGCCTCCTGGAGTAACTGGGACTAGAGACTGCACCACCACACTCAGCCTGAAATTCTTAAAGTGATTATAGCAGGTTATGCTTCTCATTTTGCCACTCCTCAAGTGAAGATGCTTAAAAGTACATATTCTTCATCTTTCTCTCCTCTGCTGAAAATAAATTTTCCTTTAGATGTCCTATATTACTTCAAAACAACACAGCCCTAATGATCACATCTATACAAATCCACAAATATCCTTCACTCCCAAAACATGTCTTCTCTTCTCTGACATGAACTTTTTCAAAAACTCTTTCCTTGTTTGAGGGAAGGGGGAATTTTTGCTTGTTTTGCTTTGCTTTCTGAATGGGAGGTAGGAAACTTAGAAGGGAGAAGAAAGAAGAGAAACCAAAGAAGTATTGAGCAGAGTCAAGAAATCAATGCTGTCTCAATCTTGACAATTCTTGTCCTTACAGAAATTGTTAAATGTTTAAATGGCTTTTATGTTTAACTTATAAAAAACACCCCTCTGCCCCAATTTTTTTCCTTCAAGTCTCTTAACATGTTTCTCTTCACTTCTCAATGTGGGGTATTTTATTGCCCAAAAAACCCCATAAAATTACATTTCAGTAGCATTAAGTACATACACATTGTGTGTAACCATCACCACTATCCATCTCTAGAACCTTTTTGTCACCCCAGAAAGTAAGTATCCATTAAGCAGCTCCCCATTTTTTTCCTACCTCCAGCCCCTTGTAACTTCTATTCTTTCTGTCTCTATGAATTTGACTACTCTAGGTACCTCATTTAAGTGTAATCATACAGTATTTGTCATTTTGTGTCTGGCTTATTTCACTTAGCATAATGTTTTCAAGGTCCATCCATGTAGTATTTCTCCCCCAAAAGATTTTTAAATTTGAAGAAAATAAAATTATTAAATGGTTAATGGTTTAATAACTGGTATATCCATGTTAAGTTAATTTTATAAAGAACTTCATTTGTATTAATGTATCATAAGAACAGATTATGATGAGTTGGAACTTTTTATAAAATGTGTATGATACATTCATGCTTAATTTATAAGACTTGAGGAATGGCCTTACAGTTTAAAAAGGTAATAGTATTTTATCGTTTAACCACTAGTGTAATCCTTGTGGAATATATTGACAGATTACTTAATACTGTATTTTCTTCTCCTTCTTCTTCTTCTTTTTTGAGACAGGGCCTTGCTCTGTCTCCCAGGCTGGAGTGCAATGGCACAATCATAGCTCACTGAAACCTTGAACTCCTAGGCTCAGGAGATCCTCTTGCCTCAGCTTCCCAAGTAGAGGGGACTATCAGTGCATGCCACCACACTCAGCTAATTTTTCAATTTTTTGTTGAGACAGGGTCTTGCTTTGTTGCCCAGTCTGGGCTCAAGTGATCCTCCTGCCTCCATCTCCCAAAGTGCTGGGATTACAGATGTGAGCCACCACGCCAAGCCCATACTATATTTTCTTAGGAAGGTAGTTTCCAATACAACATTGCATTATGGAAATATGTAATCTATTACACAATACTTGTTTCTAGGTGAGTGTAATAATTACCCAAATCACATAATTTTCTGCATCACTTTTCTAGTTTGGTGGTGATGTCTTCTTTCTAGTTTTACAATTTTAAAACTTGAGTCCATCAAATTAAATCAAATCAAATCTTGTTCTCTCATAGCTCTCTATTATGATTTCCCTCTACTTTATAGCTCTCTTTCCCAGAGAAGGCAAAATACTGTCTACATTTCCAATAGATTGGGACCAATGGAAAAGGCACTGATCTTGAATGAGCCTTTGATCAAAGTTGAGAAAATTTTAATATAATGACTTTTTACTTTCTGGCACAGTGGAATTGGTGGATTCAAGAAATCTGTGGTAAGGAAAAGTCAATACTAAGTATATGAATATACTAAGGCTTGTAAACTAAATGTCAGTTGTTTGACATGAGCATGTCCCAAAGCACATAGACAGCCAGAACACATTACAGATACACAAGACCACATCTTACCCCTTGAAAAAAGCCGTTAGTCCTTCATTAGTGAACATTTTCATTGCACAGTTGGGCACACTTCTATACTGTCCTGGTGGAGAATTAACAAATCTGGTTTTTACTACATCCACCGGGGAGGACATAGCTGTTGCGCAAAATCCAGCAATAAGAGCTGACACCAAGTGGCAGGGGACTTCATCTAAAATGGATCGGTGAAACAGGTCAACATCAGACTTTTGGGGGCTTGCAATTTAGTTATCTGTTATATCTTTATAAACCTGTTGATAACAGTAGCTCAGTGAAGATGTCTTATAAATAAATAAAATAAAACAAGAAAGGTATTGCACTAGAAAAAGAAGGTAAAGAGTAAATGGCTTAATAGATTGTTAACACTTTAGGAAAATAACCTGTTAGTTTCCTCTGTGCCTTTAAGGCCTGCAATAATGCCTAATATATGAGCATCTAATACTTTTTTACTGAAATAAAGTACAAGGGAAATTTTAATGTCTCTAGAAGTTGTTAGAATATTATTTTTAAGAACCTATCTTATGGAATTACTTTTTGGATGAGACCACTGATAAACTCCTTGTATAACTAGATCTTTTGGATATAGTGCAGGATGGACTTACCTCCTGAATTCTGCTGTATAAAGAAAAAGATTCTAACAAAAGTCCCATATATTAGGGTTAAATGAGAATAATGCTGACCTAAGATGAAATTGCCTGTTATTTTTGTTGCAAAACATTTCTGTTGTGGCAAAACTTCTTAAACTTAATATTTTGGTCTTTTCCCGCTGCTCACGAAGTTATATATAGTTCAAAATTACTTATTTTTAAAAAGAGAAAACTATTAGAGTTAAGGAATTCAGTATAAGGTGGCTGCAGAAGCTCCAAGAGGAAATTCTAAAGGTGCAGACCTGTTTGTTATATGAAATGGGAAGTTACCTGCTAATATGTTGTTTTTCACAAAGGCCTCCTTCATTAGATCATATGTTACCAGCTCTGTACAATTGATGATGACACTTCTCATCAGATTGGGGGTAGTCCCTGGGGGAAAAAAAAAGAAAATGTTTACTAACTCTACTTTATAATAAGTTGATAATTGTATGTATGTGCTTTAGTGGTTCTAAAACCCACTTTGAAGTTAGTTACCTTTCCAAAGACCCGTCAAACCTTCCGTTGTTGCTATTATTCTGTACGCGTTATAAGTCCCCGTGTAGCGAGGTTTGATACCGTGGAGATGGCTCTGCGCTTGAAGTCTGACTTTCACAACCTCTGTGGGTTGTCCGATGAATACTGCCACTCCTCCAGTCATTAGACCAGCTAAGATCTTGCTTCCTAAACTAGGTGTTGCTATCCAGAGAGAAAAAAAATTATTAAGAAAAAAAAATTAAAGACCTAGAATGCATGCATGTCTTTTTAATTTTCAGTGGTTCATAGTTGTTGGTTTTTTTTTTTTTTTTTTTTTTTTTATTTTGTGTTTTCCGCTTTTTTGTAGGCTAGAGTGCAGTGGTGCAATCTTGGCTCCCTGCAAACTCCACCTCCTAGGTTCAAGCAATTCTCCTGCCTCAGCCTCCCAAGTAGCTGGGATTATAGGCATATGCCACCACACCCTGCTAATTTGTGTATTTTTAGTAGAGACAGGGTTTCACTGTATTGGCCAGGCTGGTCTTGAACTCCTGAGACCTCAGGTGATCCTCCTGCCTTGGCCTCCCAAAGTGCTAGGATTACAGGTATTAGCCACCACACCTGGCCCATATTTTTGTATTCTTACAGCTTTTCTACTCCTCTAATGCATGTTCATGTGTTGATCAAGTACTAAATGTGTACCAACTCAGAGTAAGGCTAGAAGACTTCAGGTGTCTGAAATTTTTAAAAAATGAAGACTTTCAAGGAACAAGAAAACACAACGCTTATTTTCACAGTGGTCTGATTTTTTCCTGTGTTCAGCTTGGTTCTTTCTTATATTTAGCTCTCTTTTTAGTATTATCCAACTGTGAGGAGGCACCCGTCACCAATGAGGCTTGATCTTTTCCCATGAAGGATAATGTTAATTATGGGACTTGGTGGCTTTAGAAGAAGCCCAGTGGACAAGCTGCACCAATATAGGCCATCAACTAGTGTTAGGCTACAACATGTGAAGGGAACAAAAATAAGAAGACAGGCGAGAAGAAAGTGATTTTTGTCTTAAAATTTTGAAAAAATTAGCTTATGTTGCTCAAGAAAGATATCATTAAATATAAATAGTCTTGAAGCCCAATATTCATTTCTATCATTAAGTAAATATAAAATTATGGTTCAGCAACATTTACTCAGCAAAGACTTTCTCAGTCATTCTAATTCAGTTTCCTAATCTGTCAAACAGGGATAATAATATCTACCTCCTCGAGTTGTGTGAGTTAAATAATACTGATAAAGAGCTTACACTGTCTAGCACAAAGAAAATCCACAAAACTGGCAGCAATTTTTAAATCACTATCGTGATTGTACTCTTCTCATCATGCTTTAGCAGGAGCTGGGCATTTGATTGACAGCTGTCTTTTACTTGGCAATATCGTATGATTACAAATGCCTTCACTTTTAGCTCACATTTGTAATGCATTGCACTACAATGTAGTGTATCTTGATGTACTCATCCTATCCTCCAATCTCCAACTTTCAAATCCCTCTCTTCACTTCCCAGTCAAGCTTCCTGGAAAAGAGGCTATGTATTTTTTTTTCAAGAACTAAAAGAAATTTATTTACAAAATATATTGTTTGTCTTTACTTCTCAGACCCATTTCTTCCTCAGTCCCCTACAATACAGCTTATACCCCACTACTCTGCTGAAGATGTTTTTACTAGAAAATCAGTGAGTTTCTATTTGTTATGTACAATGATCACTTTTCAGTCCTTTCCACACTCTCTGCTGTTTGACCCTATTGATAGTCCCTGCTGTGACTTCCTGGAATCTAGCCCAGACTTTTCTCTTAAACTCATGTGCCTACTGGACATTACCTGTTGACATGGCCTAAACTAAATTTCTTGTCTTCCCCCTAAGACGGCTTCTATACATCCTCCCTCAATAAAGGGTATCTTTAACCAGAAACTTGGAAGTCATCTTGTATTTCTACCTGTCCCTTATGCCTTACTTCTATTTGTTCACCAATTCAATTCGATTATACTTTCTCAGTCTTTCTGATTGACATCTCTTTTTCCCTATTGCCAGTGCTTTAGGGCATACCCTGATCATTTCTTGCTTTCTAACTTACCTCTTTCTTACTCCTTTTACATATATACTCTATCTGCTGCCAAAGTGATCTTTTGAAAATGTAAATTGTTTATGCCACTCCCCTGCTTAACATTTTTACAGTGACTTCCCATCAGGGTAAGGATAAAATCCAAACTCCTTAGCATTGCCTGCAAGGCCTTCTGTGATCTGGCTCCTTCCTGCCTCTGTGGTTTCACGCTTCCTTCCTCACCAACATGTCCTCCCTGTGCTATGTTCACTCTACTCCTCACTGAGTCTTTGTACATGACCTTCACTCTACTTGGAAGGTCTTTCTCACCCCTTTACCTGGATCACTCCTGCTGGCCCTTTCAGAATTGATCCGGACATTAACTCTTCAGGAAAATCTCACAGGACCATGCCTCCATGGCTAGGTTAAATAGTTATGTTTAATATGGCCACCATCTTGTAATTACAGTTAGTCATGTGCTGCATATGTGATGGTGGTCCCATAAGACTAGAACGGAACTGGAAAATTCCTATCATCTAGTGACATCCCAGGCACCATAAGGTTGTCATGTAATGCATTACCTTTTATATTTTTAGGTACACAAACACTTAACTGTTATACAACAATTGCCTGTAGTATTCAATACCAATAGTCTGCACAGGTTTGTAGCCTAGGAGCAATAGATTATACCATATACACTAGGTGTGGCTATGCCATCTAAGTTTGTGTAAGTGCTCTCTGTGATGTTCATACAACAACCAATTTGCCTCCTAACTCATTTCTGAGAATGTATCCCCATCGTTAAGCGAAGTAGGACTGTATTGTAATACAGCATGTGTCATGGTGTTGCTGGAAGTCAGGGACCCCAAACGGAGGGACTGGCTGGAGCCACAGCAGAGGAACATAAATTGTGAAGATTTCATGAACATTTATCAGTTCCCAAATAATACTCCTATAATTTCTTATGCCTGTCTTACTTTAATCTCTTAATCCTGTTATCTTCAGGACCCTGTGATTGCGTTAACCATACAATCTGATTGTGAGACATGTATGTTCGAACAATATGAAATCTGATTGTAAAACGTGTGTTTGAACAATATGAAATCAGTGCACCTTGAAAAAGAACAGAATAACAGCAATTTTAGGGAACAAGGCAAGACAACCATAAGGTCTGACTGCCTGTGGGGTCAGGCAAAAAGAGCCATATTTTTCTTCTTGCAGAGAACCTATAAATGGACCTGCAAGTAGGAGAGATATCACTAAATTCTTTTCATAGCAAGGAATATACTATTAAGACCCTAGGAAAAGAATTGCATTACTTGGGGGAGGTCTATAAACGGCCACTCTGGGAGTGTCTGTCCTGTGCAGTTGAGATAAGGACTGAAATACGCCCTGGTCTCCTGCAGTACCCTCAGGTTCACTAGGGTGGGGAAAAACCCCACCCTGGTGAATTTGAGGTCAGACCGGTTCTCTGCTCTCGAACCCTGTTTTCTGTTGTTTAAGATGTTTATCAAGACAATACGTGCACAGCTGAACATAGACCCTCATCAGTAATTCTAATTTTGCCCTTTGCCTTGTGATCTTTGCTTTGCCCTTTACCTTGTGCTCTTTGTTGGCCTCAGAAGCATGTGATCTTTGTGACCTACTCCCTGTTTGTACACCCCCTCCCCTTTTGAAGTCCTGAATAAAAACCTCTGGTTTTACGGCTCAGGTGGGCATCACGGACCTACCAATATATGTCACCCCTGGTGGCCCAGCTGTAAAATTCCTCTTTCTACTCTTTCTCTTTATTTCTCAGACTGGCCGACACTTAGGGAAAATAGAAAGTTGAAATACTGGGGGTGGGTTCCCCCAATATCATGGAATATAGTCATCTATTCACTTCTCCCCACACACCCCTTACTGTCAACTGTAAACTCTGTAAACATCTGCCATCTAAATATCTAACGTAGTTACTGGCACATGGCAGTTCAATAAAGCCTACTAAATAAATGGAATCTATATAACATAGAACGCTGCCAACATATATCCTATTAATTTGGTGCCCAAAGTCCACAACAATTGATAGGACAGTCAATCTGTGAAGAAAACCACCTGAACGAGCACTTGACCTCCTTTGTGTTTCCTCTCTTGTACATCTATAAATATCAAAATGCAGTTTTGATCTAGTAACATACAGACTTTATCTTCACTTTGAAAGTACTTGTGTGGATAAGTATAATTTACATATTTGTATAGACAATATTTATAAATTATCCCATAAAGCTACAGTATTGAAGGTTACTCACAGCAGAATTGATGAAATCTACAAGATGGATTTCACTTAATATATTCATTTTGTCATCAGCACATCTTCTCTCCAGCTTGTCTCATCAGAGGACATGAAAGTGCCTCTGATGTTGATTAGCTGTGTGATTTTGTGCATGTTACTTAACTGCCCTGATACTCGGCTAACAGTTTTCACTCACAGCATTGTTGTGCGGTTTGAATGATGGACAGAATCATATGCGAAGTGCAGAAGGCAGTAGAGAACAGGGTTAAGAGCCTGGAGTCCGAGGCCAGACTGCCTGGGTTTGAACCCTGGCTCTGCCCCCTCCCAGCTGTGTGACCTTGGGCAAGTGATGAATTGCTCTGTGTTCAGTTTTCCCATCTGCCAAGGGATAATGATACTAGTACCCTTCCCGTTGTAATGTACCTGAAGCACTTAGAACAGTGTCTCATTCATAGTAAGCCCTCAAATAAATACTAGTTAGGGTGACAGGAATTCTTAGAGTGCACTTGCATTCAGGAAATATGTTTCTTTTTCCTTTTCCCATAAACAAACTCCCTACAGCATTCGTCCATTTTTTCTGGTCTGGTCTTCCCTGGACCTTATGAGGAACCTCTTAAAAGGAAATATGTCTTTTCCTGTCCTTTCAAATCTACTCACCAAGTCTGGCTTTCTTTGCTTCAAACAGAAGGTTTTGAACTTTGTTGCATACCCAAATGATGAGGGAAGCTTGTGGAAACACAGATACTCTGGTCTCTAGCCTGAGGATTCAGACTCAGAGGACCATGGTAGTCCTCGTCTGGATTTCTGACAAGCTCCATAGATGTTTCTGATATATTTCCCTGTTTGGAGAACTTTAAGTTAAACATTATTCTGTAGCTCATTCATATTCTCCAGATGGAGATCCAAATTAGGCACACAACTTTCATGACTGGGTGACTTTTTAAAAGTATAAATCTGCATCTAAAATGTCAATTTTGCATACTTTTTTCTTTCTATGAACAATGAACTAATATTTGGGGAAGGGAGAGAGTTCAAATATGAATGTTTTCTCGCCAATTTGTTATGAAAACCACTCCTTAATGTGTTACATTTTTTGGAACAGAGCAGAGCCCAAGGTGTTTCTGCCCCTCCCAGGAACGTTCTCGGCTTACTTTCTTTGCCTGCGGAGAGGAACTCCTGGACCGTGTCATAGAGGCCGATCCTGAGAGAGGTGGAGCTGATCTGTCTCTGAAGCCCCGCAGGCAGCCCGCTGTAGAGTTTCATCCGCCCTTCTGTTTTGACCAGAGTGGTGATTGTTCCCAGGACACCTTTATACCTAATAGCACTGGACGTCGGGCGTTCGCCTTGGATCTGGAAATAAGAAAGGTGCAGATCAGAAGGGAGCGAACATTGAGTTCACTCTTAAGCCAAGATTTCCCCCACCGTGTTCCTATTTTCCGTTTCTTTTCTCAGCAACATCCCCCTTCCATCCACCTCCCTCTACTCCGTGTGTGTGTGTGTGTGTGTGTGTGTGTGTGTGTGTGTGTGTGTGTTCGCGAGCGCGCAGATTGGGGGAGGCTGGCTACAATGCACATTTTGAACATTCGCCTCCCCGTGAACTCTCCAGAACCCCTAGGGCAGCAGGATAGGACAGAATCAAAGAAAGGAAAAAGCACCTGACTAGTAAACTCAGGAGAGGCCAATATTCTCAGTTCAGAATACTAAGTGCACCCTAAATTTTAGAAGAATTTGGTAGTAGTCATGGTCAACCCATCCTCTGTGGCCCTCGTGGTTCTTCAACTAATCCTAGAAAAAGTTCCAGTTTCCCATCCTAAAGCACCAGCCCTGGGACAAGGCCAGACTGCTTTGGAAGGGCACTTACCCTACCTAGAAGCAGTGGTTAACCCAAAGCAGAGAATAAACGGAATGCACTCAACAGCGCCCCCTCTGGCCTGAGAGCCCTGGTCATACCCCTCTGGCTGGCTACCTGGAGCCGGACTTTGGCCGTGTCCAGCGGGAAGGTGATCACGTCCGCTAAGCACGCCGCTATTCCAGCTGAGAAGAGCTGGATCCCCAGGGTTGGGTGCACGTCCGAGGCTGTCAGGCCCCCCATCTTCACTCAGAGACTGGAGATGCAGAGGAAAAGGGTTCCAGCCCCGAAGGTGTGGGAAGTTTCTTTCCCTTGCTCTTCACGCCTGTCTCCCGGGCAGCAAAACCCGCTTTCTGTTTTTTGAACCCCCCACCCGGCAGCTAAGGTGCAGAGGCGGCGGCTCCAGACGAAGCGCGGCGTTGGGGGCCGAGTCCCCGCGTCCCCTCCTCCTCACCCTAGCGCCAGCAGGACCCTCTGCGCCCCGGTCTTCCGCTGGGACTTATATAGCTGGGTCGCTCCGGGGCTGGGCCGCGCGAGGTCTCAGAAGACCCGGGCGTGGGACCTGGCGGGGGCGTGTCCGGGAGCACTGGCTCCCTCCCATTCCCATCCTCGCCCGGCGCCTCAGGAGCCCCGCTTCTCTCCCCAAAAGCCCTAAGCCGGTCCCTGGTTGTCTGCGCCCGGCACTCCGCGCGTCGGAGGGAGGGCGCACCGCGGCGGTCAGCACCCGCGCCCCCCGCACGCGCCTCACCTTCTGTCACCCTCTGCTGCGCACCTTCGGCTGGGGCTTTCGGAAACCAGCACGATACCAGAGACCTTGGTAAAAGGTCCTGCCAAGCTGGAGCTCTCCCAGGAGGAAGAGCGAGGCACTCTCCCACTCCTCCTACTCCTCAGACATCTTGCAGGCACCTTGCAGCCTTCTCTGCTTCCCCTTCCTCTCCTTTAAACTTCTCATCCTCCTTCCTCCGGATTCCTTCTCTTCCCACTACCAATTCAGACTTGGAGGAATCCCACACAGGAACCAAGAGCACTCTGAACTTGTCAAAGAAAGCGTTTCGTTTCATCACTTTTTGAGAGATGTCAAACGAGGCAATAGACACACTAGAAAGCAAACAGTACATTGCTAAAGCAAATACAAAATGAGATACCACTTGTTCCTTCTAATTACATTTCTTGGAGGGTGCAGTGGAAAGGACAGGGCAGGTTGCTTGGCTGCTGGTGCAGCTCTCCAGCTTACCAACTCTGTGAACCCGGGAAAGTCATCTGTACTCCAGCTTTTATTTTCAGCAGTGTGAAATGTGGTTCCAGAGCTAGCCCAGGTCTGAAATCTTCCTGCTAACTCACCTATAATGATGTAATGTATGTTGGTTGTGTGGCCTTTCTTAGTTCAATCGTTGTGCAAATTTTATTTTCAATGTTTATTCTTGTGAAAATTAAAAAAAAAAACTTTTAAAAAACAGTGGGAAATAATAGGAAACAGGAGAAAGAGGGAAATGGGCAAGGTCAGGTCCCAGCTTCCAGAATCTCTCAGATGAGCCAAAGATCCATTTGATATTACCAGAATCCACATCCAGCTATCTAGGGCTCAGGTACTCAACCCTGACTTAAGCCCCCCAAAAGAGTCAGTGGAAGTCAGAGTCATCTCCTCCAGGAGCAGCGGAAATAAGATATGAATAAAGAATCTCCAATCCCTTTCTAAGTAAAGGTTGTGTACTGTGCAAGAAGCCAGTCCTAAGGCACGTCCAAGGGAGGTCAGGCTTACGGAGCTTCCCTAAAAAAGGCAATGTTGACTTGACATGGTAGCCTCTGAAAAAATTAGAAAGAAGAAGGAGCGAGCGAGGTTTCCCCTCTGCAAACACTTGTTGAAATAAAGATCAACTGAGGCAAATAAGTGGCATGCGTGCAGGCAAAGATGTTGAGGAAAGCACGTTGCATATATAGAGTGCGTTCTGTTGGCCTGACTGGGAAATTGGGTGATGGGGAAGAAAGAGAGAGGTAGGGCAAGAAGTTGGTGAGGGATGAGGCTGTAGAAGCCAAATGAGAAGCAAAGCCTGCAAATCCATTATGAGTGTAGATTCATGTTATCACCTGTGTAGTGCTTTATGGACTATGAAGTGCTCTCACATAAATGTCACATTTAGTATGATAGACAATACAGCTTTATGAATGATTAGATGTGGAGTCAAAGATGACTCTGTTTAAGAACATGGGTTGCAAGCTTAGTGATGGTACCAACAGATTGTCATGAGGCAGTTGGTAAGGGGGCAGATTTTAGGGGTAAGAAGATTAAACCAGTTTTTAAAGTCTTAGAATTATTTGGAGAGAATACTGTTGATATCTAGATAGGGAGCCTAGGAAGCTGCATCTAACATGCTAAAAGAGCAAGAAACAGAGCTGGGAGGTATTTGGTGGTCATGATATGGATGCAATGAAAGGGGCATGCTTTACATGGGAAAATGGGACTAGTCCAATAGGACTAGGAAAAGAGTTCAAGGGCCAAATGATAGGGGGACCCAGACCCAGAGTTATAGTCTGGAAAGAATGGCCTTGTCAAAGGTAGAGTGAGAACAAGTGATATCCAGTGATAAAGCTAGTATTTAAGAACATGATTAAATGAAGATTGGGTCTTGACCAGTGTCAAGTTTAGAAAAAATGTCAAGAGGACAAAAACAAAGAAAAACCTACTGGATTTGACTCTAAGATTGTCGGTGATCTTAGGGAGTACAACTGTGATGGAGTTGTTAGGTTGTGAGGCTGATGGCTAAGCAGTGGCTAAGAATGTTGGTAGAGTATGACTAAAATGTCCATGAGGAGGCCTTACTCCTTGCTGACTCTAGTGAAACTCTGCATCAACGGATTCATTCCCAATCCTCACCCCAAAGCTACCCATGAATCTTTCTCAGTGGTTCTATCTGTAGTAGTTTTAAAACATAATTGCAAATCCATCACATTCTCCCATCAAAAGATGAGGGTCCATGTGCCTTCCCCTTGCATCTGGCAGGCTTATGAATGCTTTGACCAATAGAATAATACAGAACTGATGCCATGTGGCTTCTGAGACCAGATTATAAAAGTCCTTGTATCTTCTGCTTTACTCACTGCAACATTTGCTCTTGGAGCCTTGGGTTGGCATGTAAGAAAGCAAACTTCTCTGAGCTGTCATGCTGGAGAGGCCCCACATCGTCATCCCTCTTTACCAAGGCGCCAGGCACCAGAGTACAGCTATCTTGGACCCTCCAGATAAGCCTACTTGCCAGTTGAATACCACCAAGTGATCTCCAATGATGTCAGTAAAACAGAAGAATCACCTAGCTGAGCTCTGTCTAAATTCCTGATCTATTCAATTGTGAGATACAATAAAATAATTATTGTAGTAAGGTAGCAAAAGATAACTGTAACAGCACCTTTACTTGTTTGAGCAGTTGGAAGGGGCATGCATTCTCTCTTTGCCCCATCCTACTTTCACAATGAGGAGTTCAAGGCAGTGGATGGGTATAGAGTTTTGGATTTGGACTATAAGAAGAAGCCATAATACATTTGTAAAGAAAAAGCAAGGTAAATTAAAATTGTCTTTTTTTCCCCATAAGGCACATGTTTGCATGTTTTAAAGCCAAAGTATGACAAACTGGAGGAGAAAGTGACAGGAAAACTATGAAAAGGGAAGGAAATGTGAGAAATAAATCTATTAGAAAATAAGAAAAGTTGTTATCCAAAAACAGGTAAGGACAGGTAGGGACAGAGAACCCCTGACAAGATAAAGGGGTTGCTTTATTTGAGCCTGGAAGGAAGAACGACAGTATAAGCTTCCGGGATATTAACATCAGACTAAGATGGACAGTTAAGAGCCTTTGCCAGGAGATAGTATGACTGTAATTCAATGGTGACTGAGCACCTGAGATGTGCGAGGCACAATAGTGACTTCTAAGGGTTACAGGAGAAGCTGACGTCAAAAACTTCACACAAGGAGACCCTGAGAGGTCACAGAAGTTCAAGATTCTGAAAATGATTCTGGATTCCAACCAGCAGGCTGGCCTCACCACTTCTGAGAGGCTCTGGGAAGTAGGAGAAAGTTTGCCTCAGGTTGGAGAGAGCAGTAGGGGAAAGGGTGGTATCCCCAAAGGGTCAGATTTCTGCTCTTCTGGCACAAAGAAGAAGCAGAGAGGTAAAGAATAGGTCAGTGTGAGCAAGGGCAACTGACCCTTAATGACGTAGCAAAGGAATGGCAGCAAGCTCTGAATGTACCAAATTCTCCTCTCCTTTTTTAAAATTTAGAACACATTAACAAATGCACTTGATCGAACTGTGGTCAATCAGAAATCGCTGCACAAAATGTCTTCCTGTTAAATAAAAATCATACAGCGCTTTGCACTTGAATAGTGTTCTATACTTTCCCATAATTCTCTCATTAGCCACCATTGGGAAATATCCTGTTACAGTTATACAGATAAATGTGCAAATGACAGAAAAATCAATTTATAGAAGAAGAAATACAAACTTTTAAAATGGGAGAGAGGATATATTTATTATCACTAATAAAGAAATGTATATACTTCACCTAATAAATTAATACTGTGTCACTACCAAAATTATAATTACTATAACTTTATATATACTATACATTAAATTTAATATTATAAATATTAATAAATTATGAATGTTATAATTATAAATTATGAATGTTAAAATGTAATAACCATAATATCAATACTATATTAATGATGGCATTATACATTCACACAATTCTTTTGGAAAACAATTTGGCGGTATACACTGAGCCAAGAGAATGTCTATTTTTTTTTTTGAAACAGAGTCTAGCTGTCTCACCCAGGCTGTGTAATACAGTGGCACAATCTCAGCTCACTGAAACCTACGCCTCCTGGGTTCAAGAGATTCCTGTACCTTAGCCTCCCATGTAACTGGGAGTACAGGCATGTGCCACTATGCCTGGATAGTTTTGGTGTTTTTAGTAGAGATGGGATTTCGCTGTGTTGGCCCAGGCTGATCTCGAACTCCTGGCCTCAAGTGATCTGCCTGCCTCTGCCTCCCAAAGTGCTGGATTACAAGCATGAGCCATCACACCAGAATGTCTATATCCACTTCTGGTAATTCCACTTCTGAATTTCTACCCTAAAATAATTAACTAAAATATGAAAGAGTCATATGTAGGCTAATGTTTATGATAGCTTAATATTTATAACAGCAAATTAGTGAGAGTGCCAACCTCAGCTTGGCATCTAGATGTGGGATTGTCTGAAGAGCTGTCCAGAATAGTGGTGCTCAAGTGTCTACTGTTAGGAACTGATACACACGTGAGAAAGGAGAGTGCTCTTAGGAATAGAGAAAAAGTAGAAAGAGGACAGGATTGGGTTTTCTTGGTCCAGCCCAACACCAAGAGACAAAGACTATCAAACTCCATGTTAAGGAGAAAATACTCCATATCCATGCTGATTCAGGTGGTATAGCATGGTGATTAAGAGACCAGGAGGATGTTCAAATTCTCGCTAAGATATTGACTGGGTAAGCATGGCCAAATTACTTAACTTCTCTGAACTTTAGATTCTTTACGTATGTGATGAATA